CCTAACTATATGAGTAGCCAAGCTGGGTAAACAAGTAATACTAAATGCGTTACGTGGTATAGCTAAATCTGTGAATATTGCACAAATACCTCTCAACATTCATGACCTTCACAAAAGTTTTCTTCAGAAATACTTTTGTCTAAACGTATGACTCCAACACTATATAGTGCTAGGAATATTCGCAAAGTAGCCGTGTTCGGTAAGTAAAGCAATTGTTGGCGTTTTAAACCGAATCAAACGTGGTTTTAACACGCTTAGAACCGATAGGGTTGATGCTAAGAATACCAGAAAATATTTTGGAGAAAGTTTTCCCGAGCTTGACTGGGTGAAAATTGTCTAATTTATTATTGCCAGAAGCAGAAACAAGTATAGTAAAGGGACCAGTGTAGTGTAGTGGAAAGCATTCAGGAACATTGCGTTGCTTAATTGCTGATGTATAAGGAAAATCGACATAGAGCGAGTATATGTTTGAAGTTGGCCGGCAGGATGACTTCACAAAGATGACATATGAATTGCAATTCATGTTACTATTATAAGATTGGGGCCAATAGAAATTGATTTACGGTCAGATTTAGTGAATGTAGAATTTTTTGTGAAAAGGGTTTGTTGGAGATTAAGAACCTTGATTGCTTTTGTCAGAATTACGCGAATTATTCGTCGATATTTGTGGATTGAGTATTTGCAAAGTGCTTCTACAGCGCAGTGGTGCTGATCACCCCTCCCGGTTTAGATCTAGATTGCATCCAGAGACCAAGTAGACACCGTAAAGGCGAAACTCTGGTTTCTAAACGGGTAAAAAGACTGATAAACGCTCAAACAAAATAGTACTCTAAAAATGGGGGGATGACTTCAAACGTACACGTGATAAAGACGTTCGTGCAATACGACCGATAAATCGTAGCTATAATATTTATAATTCTTGTACCTTTTGAGTTAAATATTTTTTTGGTTTTGATTCATATTTTAAATGTTTTTTTATTTTGAAATAATTATAATGATCAACTCTTATTATATGTAGAGGAATATTTTAAATTAATCCTTTAACCACTAATGGATAAAATATGAAAAAAATCTGTTAATATTTGATTTGGTTCAACACATATTACGTTCATAGTTCACTTCTTTTTTAAATTTAATCAAATTTTTGTAAAAACTTTTTTTTAGAAAATATCATATTTATAATAAAAGAACTTTACATTTATTTTATAGTAAATAGGATTTCATGTGATATATAAAAAAGCTTCCTTCAAATTTAAATATTCATCCATAAGATATGTTTTAAAAAATATTTTACCTATACTACTACTAATCGGACTCGAAATAAAATTTTGTTTATATTAATACAATTTTGTTACAATGATTCTTTCCATATTTTATCAGAGTTCAAGTTCAAACTTAAGTTTGTATCATCTGACATAAGTCGACATAATATACAGAAAAAAATAAGGCTATGTACTTTAATTTTTATCTTTGTAACGATTTAAAAAAGGTAAATTTTTCTATTTTTATGATATCTCTAAAAATTGTCAAAATAACTTATGTTAATCTAGTTTTTAGTTACAGTTTTGATTTTTAGTATAAAAACTTACTCCTTAGTTTTACCAACGATCACTTTGTCAAAGCCCAAATTATAATATCCATCTTGAACTGTTAGACCATAAAACAAATTTAAAAGATTTATATGTTTTTCAACACTGTTAGCAACTATTTCTTTTTCCAGGTCTATTCCATACATGTTTTTTAAAACTGCTTTAACAGAATTTTTACTGCTATATGTAAAGGGGTGATTTATTTTGTCAAGTTCGGGTAATATTTTGCCTTCTATTGTTCTAGAAATTAATCCTTTAATACTCAACACTACTTTACTAGCTTTTTGTTCATCATTAATATCAACAGGATTTTTTATTGTCATTTTATACAATAGCCCTATTTGCAAAACCATACTTTTATAACCTGATTTATAATTCGAACCTATATAAATATTGGCATTATTTAAGAAAGTAGCGACGTATAACAATTTTAGAAATAGCCTATGTGATGTTTTTACTGTTTCCCGCAACTCATTAGAGCAATAAATGAAATATTCTTTATTTTTGTATTTTCTATATCTGTAACATAACTGAACAAAACTATTTAATAAATGTTTATATACTCTCAAATATTCAGTGTACATAAGAATTATTAAATCATTTATCTTTGATATTTTTTCATGAAAATTCTCGATATCAATTTCCGACAAAATATCTTCCATAATATAATAACGACATGTTTCTTCATCAAACCTGTATCCATACATCATATCTATATCCCATCCATTCTTTTGTTGACGAATAATATTGAAATCATTGATATACTTTCGTAATAATCGGTGTGGATCTGAACTTGAACTACAGAAAACCATCAAACTTTGATTTAAAATCCAAATATTATAAAAATTTAAAATGAAGAATCGAAATAACATTTTTTTGAGATTAATAATTAAAAATTTGAAGACATTATAAATCTGTAAAATAAATTTGTTATTAATAGTATAACGATACTAAAGAAATAATAATCGATAATGTTAATGTTCCATTTTATACAATTTTAATACATACAAATGAGTTTTGGGAGAAACACTTGGTTATTATTTTATTATTGCAATGATTACTTATGTGCGTAAATTTACACAATTTCGTTATTTAAGAAATTTCAAGGACAAAATTTTATATTTTAAAATGCGACTCAACTTTTAAAACTGATTATAAATATAAAATATAAATAAAAATCATAACTTAAAGAAATTCGATTCTACATAAAGTAATTTTTACATATCGTAATATGGCTATTGTATGGTCTGGCATTATATAATCCTCTTGATATTAATGATAAAGCTATTGCTAATAAATTAGTAGGAAGTGTTAGAAAATTTATTTCTATTAAAGTAGAGAAAAAAACATTAGTCGAAATGACCAAATAAATTATTCTGTGATATATCATATTGAACATTCAGTTAAAACAGCTTTAGTGGTCCAGAATAGTATAGACCTGACACAAGAAAGTAGCTATTATTTTTACATTGTATTGCAAATTCTTTTTCTATTAGAATATTAATTAAATGTCGAATGAAATACTTATTTATATTAGTTATATTCAATTACAATGAATATATGTAAATTGTAAAAAAACTAAACCGTCTAAAATTATACGAGAAGTTACCGTTAATAGTAAATTTATGAAAAACCCAAAATTTCGTTAAAATCACTTATTATATTTTTTGTATACATATCATAATAAAACGTTTCAATAGAAATATGAATCAGTGTAACTCTTGGTATTTAAACAGAATATACAATTGAAATATTTAGAACTATATTATTTTCCTATAGTTTTTAAATTATTAGCAATAACATGAAATATTAGTGGTGATAAAAAAGATATAATTGCAGATTTAAAATTAGCACAAAAAATTGAATAACGTGTTAGAAAATTTATTTCTAATACATTAGAGAAAATAACATTAGTCGAAATTAACCAAATATATTATTCTGCGATATATCATAAATAACATTCAGTTAATACAGCTTTAGTTTTCCATCATAATATAATCTGACACAAGAAATAGTTACTGAGACTATTAAAGAACATATAAGACATCATGGATATAACATCAAAGGGTCCATATTACAGGTTAATATCTTACTATAACAAAGAAATCAGACAATATAGCAAAAGAAACTAGGATAAAAATGAAAAAAATTGAAGATGATAAAAACTATAATGGTAATATTAATTATCTTTTAATGAGGTTGAGCTTCCAAAAATATTTGATACATTAAAATAATTTCCAGAAGAGAGAAATCAAATGCGGTGTCCAAAATATATAACTAGCCCTTTTAATTTACTATTTATAGAAATATAATGCTTTTAGTTTTAGTTTTATTACATTTGTCTTAATTTTTTTTTGGTTATCAATTCTTATTTTATAACGATCATTAGGTTCACTATGCGGATAAGAATATATTTCAAAAGTATCCCAGTATATGTTTTTTAATTATTCAATTTTTATAATTAAATTAATTTTTATCATCAATATTAGGAAAAATATTTTTTGCTTCGATGCGAAGCTGAAAAAGTATTGGTTTTACTATGATGTGTTTTTTTTTTTGGTGTCTGTTACCACTTTTTCTCAGCTCTCACCGAACGCATTTCTTAATAAAATTTTCTATTTAATGATGTTAATTTCAAACTTGTAATTGAGCTAAAAGTTATGGTAACACATTCAATTTTTTTTACTATAAACTTTCACAAAACTTTATCAAAAATTTTTCATCAACTTTAAAGAACCAAAAATAGGTTAAAAATGAAAATTTGGACTTATTATTTTTAACATATTATAAATCAAAATCAGTAATAATTTGAAAACAATTTTTTTTTCTTTTAATTGTTATTTTATATGTAATTAGTAATAATATAAAAAATTAGAAGTAATAAAAAAAGTCTAATTGCAAATTCGAAAAGTTGATTTAGAAAAGTATACTATTGCTTCTGATGAAAGTTCCTTGTAGTCCAGTGCATTTATTTATAGTAACAAACATTTTTTATTGAAAAGTATTGCATCAAGCCGTTTAAATTTTTATACACGTAAAAGAAAAGCAAAATATAACTTCTTTATTATTTTTATAATTTCTCCGTATAAATTACAATATTTAATTATTGAATATCAATTTCATACTAAATTTGATAACTATAATTAATGTTTATTCATATATTATATTTTAAAATCAAAGAACTACTAATCAGGATATAATTAAAGAAATAAGAGTTGATGTTGCTTTTGTAATCATCCACCAATTTCTTAGAATTAAACACTATCTACAGATTTGCATCAAAGCGTTTCTTATGATAGTGATTTTAATCAATGTCAGATATCATCTACACACGTGCCATCTATGCCTCGATACCACTGTGCTACCGTTTTTTAAATTAAAACTGTCATAACTTTTTAAAAAAATGAGTAAATCAACTGCCCACAGTGAGGGATTAAAAATGACAATATTAAATGTTTAATTTATGAATTATAATAGTTTGTATAATAAGCAAAATTCATAACTTATAGCACTGAAACGACTTAAAAATTAAAAAAAAAATTGTACCTGTTTTGACTTCTTTGAAATTTTTGTCTAATACGGTACTTAAATAGCTTTCAAACAAAAAATATGCAAAATAGTGCTTGAACTTGTAAATATACATGAAATTTTTTATTTTACTTATTGGATTTTGAAACAGTTTTATACATTACTTAAATAATCCTATAAAAAAAAAAAAAAAAAATGCAAATTTTAGAAGATATAAGCCTTTATAATGAGTACAAAAATATACATATTAGTCGATTGAGCTGATTTCTTCAGAATTTATCATTTAGTCAATTGCCTATCTAATGTTTTCATTATTTATGATCATAACGCGTATAATATTTTGCAGAATATTGCAAATTTACAAACAACAAAAAAATAGGTTATCAATTACAAGATATAGACTACGTAATGAACGTTTTACTAAACGAAATAGATGAACGGAAAGGTATATTACTAGATCCAAGTTTTCTAGTTGGTAGAGTAATATCTATGTAATATCATAAAAATTGATCAATTATGTTAACCAATATTTTTTAATTTAATACTGTTGACATTTATATACTTTATATTCGCAATAATTTATAATTTGAAGTAACAAAATAGAAAGTCTTAGGTAGGTTTGTTTCACAAACGTACCCGAAAAGAGAATATGACTTTGAAATAATGATTGATAAAAAATATGCTCGTTGGGCCAACTTCTTGGAAAACTAATTACTAACTTAGTTTTTAATAGCGTTTCATCATATCAAATTTATTTCTCTTCAATGTTTGATAATGTTTCAAAAATCTAACTTATTTAAACTTATGTCAAATTAAAACTAATAGATTAGCTAGATTTTAAATTAGATCTTACTAGAAGATGATGAATGAAAATCTATTCGAAATCTCGGTTTTTAGCAGTTATTGGGTATTGAAGCCTGATTAATGTATATGATTAAAAAAATAAAAACATTCTGGTGACTTGCCACAATGAGTAATATAATTATTAGTGGATATGTTAAATTTTAGCTTCGATGCGAATCTGAGAAGGTGTCAATTTAACTATGATGAAATTCACGATGTTATTTTCAATTAAACTAGATACGATAAAAGTATAGAATTTAATATTAGCAATTGATTTAAATAGTTTTCATATTTTAGACTTATATCTTTCATATTATAATTATCTCTTATATTTTTTCAAGATTATTCGAATCTCAAATGCACAACTATGAACATTTTTTAACTTAACCGGTTTGTTAATTTATACAGCTTCCTAATTTGAATATATAACTTTACTATTAATTATATTCATTTTTTTATCGATCCTAAATCATATTTTCTTTTAAAATAAATTGAGTATATATTGATTTACAGTTTTAAAAATGCAAATATGTAAAATAATTTTAAACGATTTTAATGAAACTGCTGGATTGTATTCATAGTCATATTCATACTCATCATCATCTGGTTTAATGATATTGAAAATCCACTCCTTGAACATGTATAAAAACAAATGTCTTGTTTGTACATCTGGATCACCGCATACCGTAAAGTTGCCAGTTACAAAATTAAAGCCATCTTTGACAGAACCGTACTGCTTGCCGTTGCAGATTAAAGGTCCTCCACTATCACCCTGACACACCATTTTCTTATTAGGCCTTGCGCACACGTAAAATTTCCATTCGTCTATAGTTGTAATACACAAGCTTGTGGTAAAATTAAATAAATAACACATAAAACGTTTATAAATAAGTATAGCATTCTTTTGGTATGATTCTTGTGAAAATCTAATGAACAACCTAAATACAGAATAGGTTTGAACGAGACCGCCCACGCGAATAAACATTTTGTTGGAAAAATTACAAATATCTAAATTATTGTGAAATTCAGCAGATTCTCATCGAATTGTTTAATATGATAATAATTATTGCCAGATATATTTTATACTTATCCCAACTCTGCCACGACCTCAAAGTGCTGGGTTTTTTTAAGTTTAGTTATGAGAATAAAACTTTTTATATCTTTTACTTAATAATAAAGGAAGATCAAACTTGATTTTTACTACATTATTATGATAAATATTATATTTTCTAACCGTCATTCATAAAATGATGACATGCTGTTTTGCCATAACCAGCCAAAACATTGGCTTGGTATCCGTCTTTATCTGGCGACTTCTGAGTTTCCATTCTCCCGAAACCAATCACAACGCACGGTAATGTCTTGTCATTTTCAAATTCTTCTGGCGTACCTGCTATCTCTACAAACTCGGTAAAACCTTCATACTCGCTTTCAATCTATGAGCATATACAAAGTTGATGTTATATACTATGTGGTTAAGTTTAAGATTAAAGTAAAAGGAAAACAACGTGTAAATAAGAATGTCTTTGGTCAACAAGAAATTTTCGTTAGAGATGTAAATAAATATTTCCTGACTGATTTCTCCCGCTAATTGCAAATCTGTAATTAGATTTTTTCCAGTACCTTCATTTTGTATAAACTGAATAGTAAAAACCGGCTAGTAAGACATTAAAAAAAACGGTTTTTTTTTTAAATGATAATTGATATCGATTGGTTTTTAAAACTACACCCAGAGAAAAACCTCGATCTATATAATAAATTCATTGTTCAATTTGATAAATATATCATTACTATTGAATCAATGATATATTTATCAATATGATATTTTTTTTTCTTGTCTTGAACAATAATTATTTATAAGAATAGTTATTTTGTTCGTATTAATAAAACATTATCATAAACCCTTGATAAAATTTCTCTTTCAATTTTGATTGAGGTTTTTCTTTGGGTGTATACAAGTGATTTGTGTAAAAGTTTGAGTCAACATAGCATGTTTTATTTTTATTTTTAATTTTAAATTTCTTTTGCGACATCGAATTTTTTTAAACTTTTTAATATAATTTTTTGTCGATTAGACTAAGTAAAAAGTTTATATTAATCATGAGATTAAAATCTTTGTTGCTTTTTAATATCATACAAAAAATGACCACATATTATGTCGTAAAATTTCGATATTTAATGTACATTTTAGCGTTAAATAAATATTTACAATTATTATATCTTAATTAAATTGTTCATAATTTTAAAATCGTTCAAAAAAAAATTTAACATAAAAATTAATAGAATAAATATTATAAAAATATGGTTATATTTTTATTCTCAATTATTTAAATTTTACCAATTGTTGCAGCGAAATTGGGATTGAAAATAGTGAGGTAACATAATATGTTAATAAATAATTGAAAAACAACAAATCATACGCCGTTTTAAGTATTTTTCAATAACAAAAATTATACATATAAAACATAACTATGTATGTCCAATAACTAACATCATAACTTCCTTGTTCCTTCAAATAAAAAAACTGTTATAGGGACCTTTTTCTCTAACGTTAATGCCACGAGACACTTTGTTAGTTTGCACAACAAAACTGAATTACGTAACTACTAGAACACAAAATAATTATTTTAAGAGTTTTGAGCATTTTAAGCGACACGTTTAAATTCGTTATATTCGCTGATATACGAAAATACCAGTAGTAAAATAGAATTTATATTTCTAGTAGGTCTCAAGTAAGCTTATATTTTTTAAACACCCAAAAAAATTAAAAACGATATATTAATAATAATATTTGACCAAAAATTAAATAACAGAGGCAGTTTTTAATTTTTTGATCAAAATACTAAAATCACGTTGAGCGACCAGTAAAATTTTTTTTAAAAATCTCAAATTTACACAAAATGTCTATTTTAATGTATAAAATGAAGTTAAAACAACGGTTCTCGTTAAAATGTAGAATTTTGATCCATCCTAACGTGTATAATACACGAGGGTAAATCCAAATCAAATCATCCAAATCGTTGCGCGACCACTTTATTTTTAGCTTCGATGCGAAGCTGAGAAGGTATTAATTTTACTATGATGCGTTTTTTTTTTTTTTTTTTTTTGTCTGTGAACGCTCAATCTCAGCTCTCGCTGGACCGATTTTGATGAACAATATGTCAAAAGATCACAAATCGTATCTAGTCGAAGACATTACCCTCAAAAATTGAAAAAAATTCCCTTGTTCCCCGCAAACGGGGGAAATCCCCCCAAAAATTACAAATTTAAAAATCGCTAATTTTCGATACTTTTTCAATTTTTTTTACTTAAAAGTGCCATAACTTTTTTAAAAATGATTGAATCAATATAATTTTTTTTTTTATAAATACCTTAGATATTTACCTATCATTTTATATATTTTTGTGAACATTTGACCCTTTAACAGCCCACAGAAAGGGTTTCAAAATGGCAACTTTTTTACAAAAAATTAACTTTTTCAACTTAATTTTTGAAAATGATCCGGAAAGACTGACACTTTTATATATACCTTAAATTAAAGCTAATGTAATATACTTTGATTTGAAAAAAAAAAATTTGACCTCTGGACTTGTCTTCATGGTGAAAATGACTACCGTATGCAAAAATATGCTATTTTTTTGAAAAAATTCTTGATATTATATTTTACATTTTTTAACATTATAATGCTATAACTTTTTAAAAAATGCATGAATTAATTCTATTCTTTAACAATAAATACTTTATATATACCTCTTTCATTCGACATACTTTTTTTTTAAATCAGACCTTTTCCCTTTATATAGGGGGGGGTGCAAACCTTTTCAAATGCGTATAGAAAGTAGAACTTTTTCAACATAACTTTTGAAAATGTTCCGGAAAGACTGACACTTTTATATATATCTTAAATTAAAGCTAATGTAATATACTTTAATTTGAAAAAAAAAATTTGACCTCTGGACATGTCTTCATGATAAAAATGACTACCGTATTCAAAAATTTGCTATTTTTGTGTTAAAATTCTGGGTTTTGTATTTTATTTTATTTTAAAATACCGGACAAGGGGAGTACAGATTTTCATAAATATTATATAAATAAAAAATTAATATAGCATAGAAAGTTAACTTATTTAAATTTGTTTGCTTCTTTTAAGTCGAGAAAAATAACTTTGAAATTTGAACTTGCTTAAATAGCCAATTTTTTCAATCGACGGTATCGACGTACAGTTGCCGAGTTGGTAAAATTATGTTTTACACGCTTGGGGTACGAGGTTCCTCCCGCGTATGGCAATGAATTTTTTGCAATTCTTTTTAATTCTTTTTAAGTTAGTATAAATTTTTAACTCGTTTGATTTTTATCTCATTTAAATTCAATAACTTCAATAAAGATCAAGGATCCCATCACTTTAGTCGCTCCTTGTAAGAAGAAATTTCTTATTCGTATTAAAATTATTTTACTATATTTTAAGTTTTAGCTTCGATACAAAGCTGAGAAGGTATTATTTTTACTATGATGCGTTTTTTTTGTGTCTGTTATCACTTTTTCTAAGTCTCCCTGAACCGATTTCTTTCAATAATAAGTCAAAAGATCACAAATCGTATCTAGTCGAAGACATTACCCTCAAAAATTAAAAAAATTTCCCTCGTTCCCTGTAAATGGGGAACCCCCCTAAAAAATTACAAATTAAAAAATCGCTAATTTTCGAAGTTTTTTTAATTATTTTTACAAAAAACATATCAATATAATTTTTTTTATAGATGCTTGATATCTTTAGCTATTATTTAGTATATTTTTTTTATAAATTTAACCCTTTACCAGCCCACAGGGGGGATTCAAAGTGACAACTTTTTTATAAAAAAATTACTTTTTTAACTTAATTTTTGAGAGTGTTCCGGAAATACTGACACTTTTATATATATTTTAAATTAAAGCCAATGTAATATACTTTATTATGGAAAAAAAAATTTCGGAATTTATTTTATCTTCACGGTGAAAATGGTTACCGAATGCTATTTTTGTGTGAAAATTCTCGATTTTGTATTTTACATTTTTAACTTTATAATGCTATAACTTTTTGAAAAATTTATGGATCAGCACAATTTTTTTATGAGAAATAATATTTTTTAATAATCTCTCTTTCATTCGACATAGTTTATCTTAATCAGGATATTAATAAGGAAATAGCAGATTATGTAACTTTTGGAATAATTTACCAATTTTTTAAAAATAAACACAAATTTTGAACTTGTAAGATTTATAGAAGGGATACTGTCTCAGGAGGAGTGGAGGGACCCCCCCACAAACTTTTCATAAGAAACATATTATGGAAAATGATACAAGGACCCAAAATTGTTGGCCCCTCCAATAAACATTTTCTGGCTACGTGCCTGGCAACAACTTTGGATGATTTGATATGGATTTAACCACGAGGGATTATAAGAACCAGTAGTTTCAAATCGTTTCTTTACATTGTTGCTATTTATAGATACACAGTTTTTAAATTATAGCTTTATCGAAAATTGTGCTAAAAGTAGTTTATGAGTTTACAATAATGCGAATTAACAATTATGATTACATCATTCGACCATCAAAACAGAAAGTCTACTCGTTAATAAAGTAAACAAATGTATCTGTAAAGAGGAGAATCCTAAAGAAATAATTAGATACCGGTTAGTATAATCCCTCGTATACTAAAAATGAATTTAAATAACAAAATTCGAAACTTTAAAATGTCAATTTAATAAACGGTTGAAGTTATAATGAAAATTAAAACACCATGTTATGTTACCAAAAAAAAAAAAACACAAACATTTTATTAAAAATGTGTGTTTGCTCATTCGAAAAACAAAGTTTATACGCCCTTATGGCATGCCTCAAGGTGTAAGGAATGAACTCGGAAAGTGTAACTCGAGAATAATACGTAACAAATATGAATAAAAAAAAAAAAATGATTTTTTTCTGCGAACAATTGAGATGGTAACGATAAAAAGAAAATCACTCTGTATAATTGGACTCGACGCAAAATCATCTCGTTTGCGTCCATAAAACCCGAGTAGAGTTAAAATTTTTTTTTATATTTCACCGGCCCACGTTCACACAGATTACTGTGCTGCGTCGACCGTTTTGTTCTCTTACTTCTAGTAAACTTATGTCCGGCACGTCATTGGTCCCGTTGATGTACTTCTCGTGCTGATATATAGTTTTGACTTGTTTGCGGAGCGTGTTGTCTTGCCACGACTTGTAGTAATGACCGCGAACCACCTGTTTTCATACGCTTCGAATTAGACACGACAACGGCGTTGAACGCGGATTCGACAAACCTCCATGTTAGACGGCGACATGTTGTCCGTACAGTGCGCGGCCGTCAGCACAAACACCGGGTTGATCAGGGACCCGGTACAAGTGTGAGCGCCCAACTGACCGCGGGCTATTACGTGCATTACGTACGGGTACTTTACGCTGTCGTATATTTCGCCGTTGGCCACCATTCCCTCCGAGTCGTTTGGAATCGTGTTGCCACATCCTGCGCCGCCAATAAACATTATTATCCCGAAAAGCCACGGTGACGTACATATTTCCTCCATGATCATCACAGTAAAAATACCACCAGCGCGTTCTTTCCGTTTTTACAACGCCATTATTTTTTAAACAAACAACAATTTTCATAGAACATTTCCCGTTGCAGTTTTTTCTTTTCCCTCGCTATACTAAATAGCGTGTATAAAAATTATCAGCCAATCATTATTTATTAATCTAATATTAGCGGAGACCACTTTGGAATTATGAAGTATTAAAATGAATTTTTTTTTAATGTTTTCATACAAACCATTTATTAATGTTTTCCGTTAATTAGATTTTGTTAAATTGAGTTTTCTATCGAGAACAAAATTTGATATTTTATTTTTTAAAAATCATTTTACGATTATTTTTCAAACATGTGTTTCAATTAGTTTAATAGTAACGTATTAAAATAATTTCAACTAGATATAATTACATAATAATGATCAAATAATTTGTATAAATAAAATTTTAGGAAAAGTTTTCAATTAGGCTTTAAGAACAAACATTTAACACAAAACCCTAAAAATTTTTAAATAATTCAATAAAGATAATTTCTAAACAAAATAGTACACGGTCATATTGGAAAGTAAATATTTTATTACTAAAATTTAACGTGATAAGATGATAAAATACAAGTATTATAAGCTTCGACTAGAAAGTTTAATGATATGTTTATTGGGATGGTCCAGAATTATAATTTTATTTTTACTTTTATAGTTTTTAGTGTTTTTGCACCAAAATAAGAATCTATTACAGCAATACAAAAAAAAAAAATTAAAATTCTAAATTCTCTTAATATTTACATACATTAGGGTAGAATACTCTGGATTGACTATAAATTAGACTAAATCGATTACTTATATATACCAGATATTAAGAAAAAGGCTAAAATAAAACAACTTTTGTAGCTATGGAGAATCAGCTTAAGTTTGAATTTAAAAATTTTATAACTTTAATTTAAGTTATTATGTCTATAAAGTGATAATATTACAATGACAAATTTCAACAAATATGTATCATTGATCATTTGTTTGGTGGAGAAAATAAAAGGACATATATTTGCATATCTTATTATGTATTAAAAAATAATTTAACAATAATAAAAAAATAGAAATATCATTTTTTGAACACACTTTTTTTAGTAACATTGAAAAAAACTTCATTTATTTTTAAGCTTATTAATTATTGATATGATATATAATTTACGATTTCCAAAAATTAGGGTTCAGACTCATTTTGCGTTCAAAATTTTCATACCACTTTTGTATAGTAGTTAAGGGTACTACTGGAGGTTGTTGTGGTCCAACTTCGATTGCATAACTACTAACATAATTAAAAAGGTTTTGAACCATTTTTTGAGTGAATTCAATAAATGTTGATACATTTTGTACAGGTTCTGTATTGGCCACTTGTGCTTCAATATCAATCAAAGGTTCAATTGAGATACCAATCTGAGCATTTATTGTAACTGATGGAAATAGACTAAATGCATTTGATGGTTCGTTAACTAAATCTACATGATGTTTTTTAAGATTTGAAAGTTTGTAAATTGCAGATGGTTTTTGATTGGACAATATACCCAATAATTGCCAGTTTGGTCTTGCATGATCATCGGGCCAGCTAAAGTACACTGAAATAAGTATAGCATTATTATAAATAGTTAATCAAAATAATTAAAAGTTTGTATAGAAACTTATTATTAAGAATTATTATTATTTTTACAGGAATCAACTTAATTTTTTTTCTATTACAGTAGACATGCTTATAATAACATAAATTGGGTTTTTTATTAGTTCAGGATGAGAAGAAGTTTTCAATTTTATTAATTATTAAATTTTTTTAAGTGAATAAAAGTAATGTGTTAGTAATCCTGTTATAAATGTTTTTTAAACTAAGTTTAACTATATGTTATATACATTACTTAAAAATATATTCATAATTAAACCAAGAATGATGTCTATTTATATCTTTAACATTAAAGTTAACATGTTTTATGTCAAACCGAGTTTCTTTTAATAAACCAAAAAATTAAGACATACCAATTAAGTATTATAATTTTTTTATTTTAAAATATTTATTAACACCATGTTTCTTAAACAAAACAAATCTAAAATACCAGCCAATTATCAATTACTTTTAAAACACTATCAATTGAAGCAATCACATGGTAAAGATACTAGATTAAATTTTTAAAGAAAAATAACTGTTTGAAAAAACCTAACCATGTAGACTTATGACAACTATATTTTTGTTTTCAACATAATCTTTTACTTTATAAGGTAATTAATTTTGGTAGATTATTAGGATATGTATTCACCACATATTCCAATAACAATAAAAAATTCATTTTTTTTATTCAATATTTTTTTTTATGATATTGCCTTAAGTTTTGATAGTTTTTAAAATTTTATTTTCTATTATAAATCTCCCTAAAATTAAATAGTTTATTAAATGTTATTAATAAGGGGAACTTAATTTAGTTGTTGATACACTTATATAATCATAGTTAAACATTTTACCAAATCCAGCAGTTCCTTCAGGAAATGGAATCAAACCAGTTAAGAATACACAAATGTAATTAACAGATTCAGCTGATGGAATTGTTATCATTAGTTTAGTTTCTTCAATACATTCAAAATCAGTACGCACCTTTTAAAAAAAAAATTAATTAATTCATAAGTTATTGAATTAAGTCCTATGATACTTAAATGTGAACCTACAATTTATTTTGAACAAAAACTTTATAATATAAAGTTAGTAAAATTAAAATATTATAATTTTATAGTTTTTCATATTTCACAGTTTTTAAAAATGTTTTTTTTTTTCAATACATTACATGATAAATTATACTTGTAATATATTAAAACAAGTGCTGACTGAGATACTGAAAAAGTTTTTAGGATTTTATTTATGGTTTTATAGAGCATTTTTTTTTTAAATTTTTGATCATTCAACAAAAACAAATTTATAATTTTTAGCATATTACCTTTATTTAGTTAAAATATAAAAACAACTAACCAGCAAATCTATCCTAAACATAGTCCATATCTTCAATGCCATGCTCAGACTTTCTCATTTCCCCCCACTTTGGAAACTATCAACAATCATAGTAGTGCCGAAACCAGGTAAACCTAAAAATTTAACTTCTTCTTATCGTCCAATTAGCCTTCTCCCTACCTTGGGAAAAANACCAGGTAAACCTAAAAATTTAACTTCTTCTTACCGTCCAATCAGCCTCCTCCCTACCTTGGGAAAACTATTTGAAAAACTACTATTAAAACGTCTTCAAAATATTTCAGAAATAAAAAACATCATCCCCCACTCTCAATTCGGATTCCGTGCAAATCACTCTACAATACACCCACTCCATCGTATCACCGATGCTATCTCCTCATCTCTTGAACAAAAAAAATACTGTTCAGGTGTCTTTTTAGACATAGCCCAAGCTTTCGATAAGGTATGGCACGAAGGGTTACTTCACAAGCTAAAATCAAACTTCCCAACACCATACTACTTAATATTAAAATCTTACCTAGACCAACGTTCTTTTCAAGTAAATATAAACAACACACTTTCTAACCATTTCACTATAAACGCCGGAGTTCCCCAAGGCAGTGACCTATCCCCCCTTTTATACTTAATATACACAGCTGATATACCTACATCTAACTTCACAATCTTAAATACTTTTGCTGACGATACAAGCATATTAGCATCAGACGCTGAACCCTTGATAACAAATTTCAAACTCCAACACCATCTCAATCTTTTAGAAAAATGATTTACCGAATGGAAAATTAAAGTAAATACAACCAAATCAAACCACATCACCTTTTCTCTTCGACCAGACATCTGTCCACCAGTCAAACTTTACAACACTTTACTCCCCCAAAATAATAAAGTAAAATACTTAGGCCTCATTTTTGACAAACGACTAACTTGGAAAGACCATATAACTGAAAAAAGAAAACAATTAAACACCCGACTCCATCTACTTCGCCCTCTCTTACGTTCCAAACTTAATCTAAAGCTAAAAACACTCATCTATAAAACTCTTCTCTTTCCACTATGGTTTTATGGTATTCAAATCTGGGGCTGTGCCGCTCCATCCAACATCCAAAAAATCCAATCCTTTCAATCCATTTGCCTACGAACACTCACCAATTCCCCTTGGTACGTCCCTAATAAAACTCTCCATTCAGATCTTCAAATTAGTTATGTTAACAATATTGCCAAAACTGCTTACCTAAAACTTCATAACAAATTAAACTCTCACCCAAACCCTAATATTCAATACCTCTATTCAAAACACATCCCCGACAATCCGCCAAGAAGATTAAAAAGAAAATGGTGTAGAGACCTCTTATAGAAAAAAAAAAAAAAATGAAATCAAAAAACAAAATTCAAAGTAGGTAGTTCTATTGGGTGCCCCCCTACTGCATGCTATTCAAGTCATATTGTAATTTTTTTTTTTACTACTGTTAACCCATTTACGGTTGTGCATATATTTTGTATAGATGTAAATTTTATAAAGTTATTTGAATAAAAAAAAAAAAAAAATATATATATAAAAGACAATACTCTACTGACTTTTGAATTATACACGCCCAAAATTTGAGTCTAGAGAACTCAGGGGGAAATTTTTATTTGCCTACCCTGCTACTCTACACTTGGATTAAAATAATGTAGAACAAGAAATGCTATTTTAAAGTTTAATTATAAAAGAAATGTTTGAACAAATGTACAAAAGAAAAAAGTGAATATCATTAATGAAATATACAATGTAAACAAAATGATTTTTTAATACATACCAAACGTCCACTAACTAATAATCCAAACATACTTTGTGCTGGGTCAGCCATGTTTATATTATATTCTTATTAATAATTATTGTAAAATATGTTATAATATTCTTACTCTATTACATATGAAGTCGTTAAATAAAACACTTATTTACATTAAATGTAACATAATTTTATACAATATAAAACAGAAAATTATCCCTCGCTTAAATTTAGAATTTTAACTAGATTAATAATAGTAAATATTTTAACGTGTTTATTTTTTTAGTTAGACTATGAATTTTAACAGATATTATTTGTACTGAAATTGTTTATGATAACCGGCGTCGATTTATCATTGCTGTAGATGTAATACTATTGTGCGATTGGCTAATTATGTTGATAAGAAAGTGTTTGCTCTAAAAATCTCTTTCGAAATTCATCTAGAACATTAAGAAAACATTAGAGAATAGTCATTGTAATCATCTGTGATTATTTCCAAAATCTGACATGGTCGGTTTACTCATTTTCTAGGAAAGCTAAAATAGTTGAAAAGTTTTATGGTTTCTTAAGCAATGTTTTTAAAAGTGAAAAAAAACCATTTTGATAAGATTTTCAAGAAAAACCGAACCCAACCGCAAAAAACTGAATAATTTAATTCAGTTGTTAGAAAAGTTTAGATGATATCTGATAATGATTAAACAAATTCACTACCTAAAAAACGCTTCCATGTCAATCTGTAGATAGTGTATAATTTTTATACAAAAAAAACTATAAATTACTAAGTATGTATACATATATTTAACTTTTAAAAAACTAATATTCAGGATATAATTAAGGATATAGGAGTTAATGTTGCTTTTGGAATATTCCATCAATTTCTTATAATTATTTATTATGTACAGAGTTACATCGAAGCGTTTCTTATGAAAATGATTTTAATCACTTTCAAAATTTATCTATACTAGTCCCAACTATGCCACGTCCCAACAGTACTACCGTTTTTTAAACTTATAGTAAGTAACATATGTTGCATACTAGAAGTTAAATTGAACGTATAGTTTTTATTGAGGAAAGATCATGAATTTTCTAAAGATGCATGTTTTTTTTTACTTTCCTTATATAGATAATACTTTATTTTTATTTTTAAATCTTAATAAGGTTATTATCTTGAGAATTTATTAGTTATTTCCTTATAATCATTGGTATTATTTTATATGTTATTTTTTATAATACATGTTATTTCGTTCTAAGAATTCTGATAGAATAAGTGTAGAATAATTTTTTTTACAATCGTTGATTGCGCAGTCAACGAAAGTAATTCGATGCTTAACAGATAACATAAACTAAAAACAATCCAGGATCTATAGTACGCGATAAAAAAAGTTAATACTATAATAGTAAACATTTTTTACCTCTTATTTTATTCATATTCAAGCTCTAATTAATTAAAAAAAAAATTCTTACTTGATATTACTTTATCTCTTAATAATATTACTACCAAAAAATGAACTTGCATTAAAATATCACTTTCTTTATTCTGCTTATATTTTTCAAATTTGTATTTATGAAATAGCCAAAGGACTATACAAGATATACAGACAGGATAATTATAGATTCTTATTCCCTTTTACATGTACTTCTAGAAGTTATTGATACATAATCCATCTTTATATTTTATATTCAACAGGGTAGAAATTTCAAGCCTTATTAAATTGAAGGTTATTCATTTAAAATATTTTATGCTGTCTTAAACATCAGATTCATTGTATTTTTAAATAGCGATTCAGTAGTAGGATAATATCAGTTAAAAAATTAAAGAATATAATATTTTTTAGCATTACAATATTTTCCTCAGGTATCGAGCGGAAAACAGCGTAGCATATTCAGTACATTATACTATTAGCATATTTAATGGTACACTGAATGTTTTGCAACAATTTAGTTCTGGTAAAAAAATAGTAACAGTAGAAGGACGAAATAACATGAGTAAGTACACTCATTTCTCGAGAGTAAGGTGAAGGTCCTAAAAAAAAAACATAATTTGATTTAGTTGTTTTTGTCAGTTTAAAAATAATTAATTAACATTTATCATAAAATGTTGGATGTTATAATTAAAGTATAGTATAAGAAAGTACTAATAGTAAGTTATTTTTTATGCGAGTTCGTTTATAAAGAAAGGTCTTTAAATTGTCATCGGTCATTAAACGCAACACTTGAATTTAAGCTTAATAAGGCTGTTATCTGAATGAATAACTTAGTGTTATTGTACATTAAGCAATCAGTATATCAATGTTTTATTGAAACACGCATATGTCTCACAAACAGATAAGGAAATCATTACATTGCAGGAATCGGAGAAAAGGATGTACTCAATTTTGAATAAAACAAGCATTGCTCATTCATTTATTTTGTAATCACATTATTCTATTAAATGAAACAGGTGTGGTTGGGTGATTATCATAGGCTGCATGTAGCAATATTTATATGTGTCATATGACATGACAATTTTTCGAAGATGGATATTTACTTGTTTAAACAATAGTAATTAAGACTTTAAATCAACTTTTAAACTAAGAATTATTAAGGTGAAATTTTTATGAATATTAATTAGAATTATTTTTTATGATTGTCATGATTGTATTACAGAAAGTTTTATTTTAATCAATGGTAATTTGTAAAACAAATATTTTTTTAAGTGTATTAGTCTTTATCTAATTATAGCTTATTAATAATTGAGTAAATACTTACAGAACCAAATATGAAAATGATAAAAAAATGCTTTAAAGAATATCCTTGGTCAGGATCTGCGCTAATTTTATTTAGCTTTGATGCAAAGCTGAGAAGGTATTAATTTTACTATGATGTTTTATTTTTGTGTCTGTTACCACTTTTTCTCAGCTCTCACCGAACCGATTTCTTTCAACAATACGTCAAAATATCACAAATCGCATCTTGTCGAAGAAATTACCTTCAAAAATTGAAAAATTTTCTCTCAATTCCTGTAAATGGGAGAAATCTCCGAAAAAATTTTCGACATTTTTTCAATTTTTTTTATTTAAAACTGCCATAACTTTTTTTAAAAATGACCAAATTAATATTATTTTTTTTTATAGATGCACGATGTTTTTATATATCATTTGGTAAATTTTTTTTAAATCGGACCATTTCCCTTTATACAGGGGGGGTTCAAATCTAAAAAATGCAAATAGAAAAAAGAACTTATTCATCTTAACTTTTGAAAGTGTTCCCGAAATACTGACACTTTTATATATGCCTTAAATTAAAGCTTATGTAATATATTTTATTATGAAAAAAAATTTTTGGACTTTATTTTGTCTTTAGGGTGAAAACAAAAATCAAAGTTAATAAAAATAAGAAATAATATTTATATCCCTCTTTCATTCGACATACTTTATCTTAATCAGGAAATAAATAAGGAAATAGCAAATCATGTAGCTTTTGGAATAATCCACCAATTTTTGAATATTAAATACTCTACAGATTTGCATCGAAGTGTTTTTTATGATAGTGATTTTCATCACTGGTAGATATCATTATACTTGATCCAACTATGCCACATCCTCACTGTGCTGGGATTTTATGAATAGAAAACAATTAGACAATTTTTTGAAAATTTAATAATATTTTCCTATTTTAAATTTGTTTCAATTACACTATATAACAATAATATAAAAAATAAATGAGACGGACTTAGAACGCCATCAAAACATTAAGGTAATTCGTTGTAATGTCTTAATTTAATTTTAATGTCTAATTTTAAGGTTTGAATTGAGTATTTTAAATATTAGAACAGTATTTCTTAATCTTTTTAACATAACGACCCCCAATTAGATTTTAATATTTTTGTGATCTCATCATAGGCGTTATCATAAATCATATATAAATCATATTTTCGTGACCCTTAAAAGCTAGTCGTTTGAGAAAAATTGTTGTAGTAGAATACTAATAAACCTAGACGCAGAGCCTAGTTAAAGACCTTTATTTGTAAATAATTTTTCTATTAAAATTTATAGATGCAATTAGAAAAAGCTTTTTCGCGGTGCTACATTAATTTATGGTCATCCATAATTTTTATTGAATAACAGTTCATAAAAACCTATACCTCGGAAAACTCTTAATTGTTGCTTATACAAGATTCAAATATCATTAAAATTGCATTATTCTCTTAGACTATAGACTTATACAAAAATTATAATATTTATATAAAAACATGTGAATTATGCATTTGTTTTTTGTATTCTTCTTGTGAATGAGATACGATTTTATTACTTATAATATTACTACAATTATTGACTAAATAATATGATTAAGATTACGTATACTTGTATACTTGTACATATAATCAAAAAATGACTATTGACGGGCGATAGGGCTGTTGCCAATAATTTCACGCCTGGAACAACGTGTGATATGCTGAATTATTAATGGTCGGGTGATTTCTTTGCATAGGTAGGTTGATAGGAGGTAAGAGTAATATTATTTTATAGAATTAGCCAGCTTATGTGTGATTTTGTCAGTTTTTTCACTACCGCTAACGACATGGATACCTCGTGTAGTGCTATAGTACTTATCTTGTTTTCTTTGGTACATGTGCTTTATGTTATACACGCTGATTCATTTTTAACTCTTGGAATCAATGGTAAGTGATTATAAACCTATATTAAGTACTAGTTAATTATTATTTATAAGTGTGGGTAGTACCAAACAGGTTCAATTGATCTACCAAATAAACTATTGGGGTAGTTTTAAATGCACATATTTTTAATACATTTTGCTTTACCTTACGATAAAAGACATTATAAGGTATTGAATTTAAGTTATTTGTGAAATATTTTTGAACNTAGTTTTAAATGCACATATTTTTAATACATTTTGCTTTACCTTACGATAAAAGACATTATAAGGTATTGAATTTAAGTTATTTTTGAATATTTTTTATCAATCTCCGTAATAAAGGGAATTATTCCAAAAATTAACAGTTATCATAAAACATCAATGTTTAAATTTAATTTTAATTTTATATTAATACAGATTTTTTAAAATGGACGGATTATTGCGATTTTTTTACGGGGAGGTGTAAAAATTTCTTATCCTTTCAATTTATCATAATATACCAAAAAAATTGACTTGTATAATGTATTATAAGATGAAGAATTAAAAAACAACAAAAAATTGTCTTTTATGAATAATAGGTCTCTAAAGTCGAAAATGTTGTAATTTTTAGTAGATATGTTAAATTTGATTCATATAAAGCATCAAAGCATTTTACGAAAGTGATTTCAATCACTGTTAGATATCAATAATACTTATCTAAAATATGCCACAATCCCGCTTTGCTAGTTTCCTTCTGAACTATACATATATATTTTTTTGAAGTTATTCAAAAATTTAACTTAATAGTGAAATTATATTATATATTGATTGATTGATAAATTGAACAGTATTGAATAATATTTTACATTATATTATTTTTTGTAAGAATACATTTTATATTATCTTGTCTGATATCATTACTAACCAATTAAAAAACTATCAACTGAAATTGAATAAACAGTTCTATTTGATGTTGCTAAAAGAAAAATTTAAACGAATAAAAAATCTTAATGATCTATTTAATATTTTAGCGTTTATGTGTAGTATTTTATTATACTGATGACGAGTTTCAGCAATCCTTTTGTCTTCTAAACAAATAAAATTACGTTAGAAGAAAACATTTTTGTGTAACAAAAAGTTTCCTTAGTATTTATCTCAGTAAAATTATTTACGTAAATAATCGAGTTATACTTATTTCTAAGCATAATAAAACTTATGTGTTTATTCTTATATTTCAAATCATAATAAATATATAAAGATAAAGTAGAAGCCATTCTCAGAAAATCCTAAATTTTATAACTAGAGATAAATTTCATGTTTCATTTTAAGTTAAAGTTACATATTGTCATCTAAGAACAATTATTAAAATATTATATGTATTATATATAATTGTGTATGTATATAGAAACATAAATATGGTTTTTTGAAATTGCCTAGTTCTTAGGTGACGATATGTGATTGAACACACAACTTTGAAAACTAGAATGTATAATTTTTTTTTATTAATAATTAAATTTTGAATTGGTGAAATACTCTAAGTCCTTGTGAACTACCTTGTATTACAAAAAAATCAATCATCAGTCAATACCTCAACGAATTAAATAAATGAATGATCTATTATTCTTATTAAAATCAATGTTTGTTGTTCCAAATGAATTACTTCTTAGACAATAGTTTTTATACGGTTTTATGATAATTTTCAATTTTATACATTAGTTATACATTTTTAGTAATACAGGGACGGTTCAAGGTATTTGAATGCTTTTTTAACTTTATTTGATATTCTATTTATTTTTTTGCTCAATATCATATATAATATATATTGGATGAAAGCACTAAAATATGATGATTCTGTTAAGTCGATTCTGTAGTAATGTTAAAATGGACTTAACAAAATTATTTAAATATATTTAACAATAATTCACTAAATTAAATATAAAAAATAATGAAGCAAGATATTTTATATTTAGTTTACTCTCATTAAATCAACAACAGCGCCTCTTTAAAATACTTTTGTGGCATATACATATTACTAGTGGTTATTGTATTAAGTAAAATTATTATACTAACCTTTTTTGAAAATTTTATTTTGTTTATTATTATAATGTTTATTTTGTAGTTACTATTATTCATTTATATCTATTTTAAATATTTTAAAAATTAATGGGTCCGGTATCTCCTTTTTCGAAAATACACTTTATTTTCTGATGAAGTATCATTTTTCCAATCGTTTAGAATAATAATGTATAATCGCTGAATATATTACCATACATGCAGAATATCGTAAAAATAGAGATGTCCAATATGTATAGTTTAATATTAAATATTGGAATTAAACTGTTGGTTTTATACAATAAAATTTAATCTTCAATTCATTACATGTCTTGCTGAAGAATTTTATTTTTGTCTACAAAAAAATGACTAGAACTCTATAAAACTCTAATTTTTCATTTTAATTGATAATTGCAGACTGCTTTGAAAGAGTTTCCATTGGAAAACGATTAAATGCTTCAGATGTGACTAAAATCCTAAAAACTACTAATTTAGTACAGTGTAGCATAGAATGTGAACGTAGCTTATGTAATGTGTACAGCTTTGGGTAAGTATTAGATTTTAATAAAATAATAATATATATATATTGGAAAATAAATTGAAAATAATAAAATAATGATACAAATAACATATATCATTTATTTAGAGTGAGCCTAAATGGGAATAGTACTTGTCTATTAGGAGCAGATTTGCCAAAATCAAGACCGTACGATGATCCGGAGTACGATCTTTTTATGAAAATTTTGCAATGTCGTGATAGAACAAGTAAGTGATTACGGATAACATATTAGTTTTATAATATTATATAAAAAAAATAAAAATCATACTAAACTTTAAAGTTAAAATTATCTTTAGACTTCATAAATTAAGGTTTTTTTTTGTTTTATAAAAGTATGTTTTTCAAAACTCGTTGGTGCTCGTCGTTTGGCTGACAAACATATTCAAAGAATAATGCCGGTCAAATCTAAGCATGATTGTGAGTTATTTTGTCAATACGAAAAAGAATTTCAGTGTCAAGGATTTAATTTTAAGTATAACACTTAATTATTATGAATTAAATTGCATAATACTATATAATTAGAATCTTACTAATTTTTTAAGGTATGATACGAATTTAAATTCCTATAGTAGTTGTCAGTTAACTTCAATACCCACAGCGAAACTTGATCTATCTTTAGATTTTCATTCAGACATCGATTATGATTTTTACGAAAAAAATGTTAACGCTTCTCCGAGTTGCCGATTTTTAGATTTTTCTGTACCCCATAATTACGGACAAAATCGCAAATGGGGTTTAATTGCTGCCGACCAGGACGATAGTTTGTGGCAAGATCCAAACCTCTTATGGCTCCAGAAAAATGATGTAAGCGGTGGATATGGCAATGATCCCGTTTATTATGAAAGGGGAACTATCAAACCAATTTTGGGAGGTCTAGACATAAATTCTAATGTCTATTCGACACTTTTACCCAAACCGGAAACTCAACCTTTATCCCCAAATGGTAAATAGTCTTTATATGAAAAAACGGAAAATAATCATTTTTAAAGATAATTTATTGATATTTTATCATGTAATGCGATAAAAAAATTTTTTTTTCTAGTTGGTTAATATATACATTTTTTTATCTTCCAGAGTGTTTTGTTAAAGTTAGGACAGGACATCATCTACAGAGAAATAATGTCATTAAAACTGTGAATGCCTTATCACTTTATAACTGTGAAACGAATTGTGCTAATGAACAAACTTTCATTTGTAACATTTTTAGTTACAGGTACACAAATATTAAATAAATACTAAGAGATTTTATCAGTAGCTAATGGTCAATATATTTGAAGCTTTAGATCAATAAAATAAAGTATATTAAAACGGTATCATTTGTAATTGATATTATGATATACATAATGTACATGTATATGAACAAATATTATTTTAATACTTTTGAGAAGGAAATCGAAAATAAATAAATTAGGGTTTATATCAGCAATTAATATCAGATTGGAGAACAAAAAATCAGACATAGGTATCTAAAAACCTGTTTGGTTTTATGCCTGGTAAGTCAACAATGGAGCCATTATTTTGTGTGATACAAATAATAGAAAAATTTAGGGAAAAGAAGAAAAAGCTATGTATGACATTTATATACTTGGCGTAATGAACAAAAATTTTTAATTAAAAATAAAAAAGGCCAAGTAGTGGAATATTAGGATGTTAAATATTTTTTTTAATTTATATAATTTTTATTAATGATTCATTAGGCAATAGATAGTTGGAGGTTCAAAAGCATAGGTTAAATTGTACTTACCTTATATCCTATGTCACGCTATAATATTTTAAACAATTCAACGTTGATTCTGGTATTAAATGCAATACGTATACGATTCACACTACACGTTATATAGTCAATATAATTACTTATGAAAAAGATTCAAATTTTAAATAATACCATTTAATTACACAAAATCTATGACTGGTTTTACTTGTAAAAGATTCTAAACACTCTATGTTTTATTAAAAATATAATTTATAATTTGTCCTTATTTTATTTTTTTATATGTTGTTGAATAAGTAATAATTAAAAAAATATTTATATCTATATAAAAATTGTATCAATGTGGTATTGTGGTGGCCCAATGTGTCCTGGCGTTAGCGCCTTGGAAGGTTGCGGCACAATAATCACAGTTAAAACTGAGAAAATTATGACCTTTAACTCTGTTTTCAGGCTCGATATTTGTTAAACAAAGACATTAGCGACGAGACTAGCTACCCAACAAGAAAAGCTTACAATAAATGTTTACAATTAAATAAAAATTTAAATTTATGTTGGGCTTATAAAATAATTAAAATTTATTTCCACATAAGAAAAATAAGTAAATACAACATTATTATTCAATGAGCAAATTAATTTAAATTAAAAGATTGACCAAAATATTATTAACTTTAGAAATCCTAAGTGTCATTTAATCCTTTAAAGAAATATATTCTTATTATATTTAAAAAATTATAGAAAGTACTTTAAATTGAAAGATATTCTAAGTCCAAATTAATTAAAATAAAAAACGATTAAGTCCCAGGGAGGAAATTTTGAGTAGAGCGTCGCAGATTTTGTGTATTTTAAAATTACCGAAAGAACTGGTTTTAATGGGGAAAAATAGTTTTTTATAGTCGGAAGGGGGTAGTTTAACGATCCTTAACGTGATCTTGGAAACTGAGGCTTTCTATTCTAATTATAATGGGGGATATGCGTGTAGGCTTTACTTAAATATCTCTACAATAAGATTTTATCCCATAATGAGCTTGTTATTTTATATTTAAAATATTAGAACCCTGTTTTGGTGTACTTGTATATTCATAATATGTGACATATATGTACAAATAATAACATCATAATATATGTTTATATTATAAGTGATAATATAATATTACATTTGATTGAGTACCGAGAGATGTTTTAAAATGGGTATTAATGAGATACGGAGTTCCGAAAAGGTATATTTATATAATAGAGGATACGTATGATGGCACTTGTACCAGGGTAAAAACCATAGGAGGAGTAACAGAAGGTTTTAGGGTAAGAGTAGAAGTTCACCAAGGTTCTGTTTTAAGCCCCTACTTATTTTCTAGAGTGATGGATGAAATTACTAGAGAAACACAAGGATAAGTGCTGTGGTGCATGTTGTCGCTGAAGATATAGTGTTGAGCTATAGGAATGAATGTTGAAGGAAGAAGAGCTAGAGGAAGACTAAAAAAAAAGATGGAGGGATGTAATTGAATGCGATATGAGGACGTCTAATGTAAGCGTAGATCATGTGGGAGATTGTGTCAAGTGGAAGTTTAGGATAAGAATGTTTGACTTCAAATAGTTGATATTAAAGCGAGGATAAAAAGAAGAAGAAGAAGGTCATATCAACAATTATTACTAATATTTTTTAAACAATATACTTTACATATTATACCTCATATTTCATAAAGTGCGTATACCGACGCAGATGCTATTAAACTCTGAATTTAAGCTTCATTTACCGTTAACGCTGTTCCCTAGAACAGAAAGCAATAACAAATTACTGTAGAAATCATTTTCTCCGGAAAAGCCAATTTAATCATCATAAATGACTGATGTTAATCGATGTTTGAAAAAAAAATTTCATTAAGATGTGAATAAGATTTTTATTTTTATTTTACAATCATTTTAGATATAGCTTTACACCTTTAATGGATAATTGTCAATTAGGAGATAAGTTTATAAGACAATTAGACGTATATCAAGATTTGGTTCCAGATAGAGATAGTGACGTATTCGTTAGAAATGAACTTAGTCAACCAGGTTGTCAACCTACAAGAAGTTGGGACACGGGTAAAAAGTATTTTAATTGTTATGAAACAAAAATATATTTAGATTGGCGCAAAAACAAAAAAATAGTTTTTATAGTGGTTATATGTAAAAATGTAACATCTCATTAATTTTTTTATTTATGATTAAGACTATTCAAAAAAAATTAATGTAATTCTTATAATTTTTGCGCTTATTTAACTTTAAAAAATGAATTTTTAATTATTTTTCAGATTGCTTTGAACGTATTCGCAGTGGCTTAACTTTTCAAGTTAAAATTATAAAATTTTCAGTTCAGGCAGAAAATTTACACGAGTGTGAATTAATGTGTCTTCATGTAAAACATTTCACATGTAGGCTATTTAGCTTTCGGTGAGTCTTCAATTTATATAAATAGTAGGATGTACTGAACAATAATTTTATTATGTTTTAGACACGGATCCGTTGGTACTGATAAATGGACGGATAATTGTTTCTTAACTGATTATTCGATGGGAGAAATGGATCCTGTAAAACATTTTATCGAAGATAATGAATGCGATATCTTTAACCGAGGCAGCTTTGGTCGAGGATGTGAATTTAACAAGGGATCACCAGACTTATGGTCTCCGACATTTATAAGTCAAAATGTACCGCCACCAGTTTTTACTACATACAGCCCTCCTCATCAACCATCTATAATTACAACTACTTATACACCTATATATAAACAACTTCCTCCTTTAAATCAATTCAACCCAAGTTATGGGCCTCCTTCAAGTTCAGATTACGGTCCTCCTAATTATCCAATAGCTCCGACATTACCGACGACGTATAGTACAACTACTCGACCTATAATTGATACATCAACAAAATCAGGTACTTATGTACCATCAATGCCACCCACTACGTATTTTCAGATACCTGGAGAATATACTCCTGTGTTTCATCGGCCTCTAGACAAAGTGCCAACATTAAAAGTACCTATTGGTGATAGTAACTTATATGGAAAAAATCCTCAAGTACCCCAATTATATGGACCAGCGAAAAAAAGTAATTACGATATAGTAATACACCATTTATTTGAAAAAAATAAATATAACAAAAGCAACATAAATTATAATAGTATTTGAAAGTTACATTTTTATGATGCAAAATACGTATAAAAGTAATCTTTAATATACAATTTTATTTAGATTTTCTGCTTAAAGTTTGTTATGTTTAAGATGTTTTTAAGATTTAAAAAGTTATGGCAGTTTTAAATAAAAAAAATTGAAAAGATATTGAAAATTAGCGATTTTTAAATTTGTAATTTTTTTGGAGATTTTCCCCATTTACGGGGAACAAGGAAATTTTTTCAATTTTTAAGAATAATATCACAAAAAAAAAAAAAACACATAGTAAAACCAATCGCATCGAAGCTAAAATAGTAAAAAAAATAATTTTTAAACTTAATTTGTTATAACTTAATAATTATTCCTAATAATTCATTAATTCACTTAATTTATCTATTTTACAAGATATTAATATTATAAAGATTTTTTTTGTAATATAGAGAAAAGTATATAAAACTTTTTATTTTAGTGTGTTATATTAGCTATGGTAGTACAGCAAGACTTTTACCTCCAGCTATTAAGAAATCAATGATAGTCAGTTCAGAAATGCAATGTAAGATGGAATGTAATAATGCCCGAGAAAATGCTTATTTTCGATGCTCCACTATCAGCTACTTGTAGGTACATACTTATTATCTTGTAATATTAATTGATAAAATGTATCTATATAAATTAAAGTATTTGTATTTGTGTTAAATAAAACATGTGCAATGCGTTGGCTATGTTACATGGCAATGTACTGAATACTTTGTTGTAGTGACGGATTTTGCGATATGAGTGATATAGAAATGAGAGATTTAAAACCTAACCAAGATTACAGTCCTGATCAACGGTTTATACTACACACGTGGGATTTCAGTGAAGTTCGCTGTTATATTTCGCCTAAAACTAAATATTTATACCCTGATGTCTGTAAGATTATTGTAAAATCATGAAAGATAAAATCAAATTATGAAAAAAACCTTAAATATTGTTTGTTATTTTTTTAGCATCAAGTTCGAACGAATGGACTTGGATGAGATTTACTGTCAATGGTCAACCATGCAAATCTGGTACATATTGTTCACAAAATGATTTAGTAGGAATTTGGTCATGTCCTGTTGATCAAGGAGGATGGGATTATTGTTGTAGACCTGATCATCATTGTGGATATACTGATGGGGTCAGTTTTTCTTGGTAAGTTTATTTTATTTTATTTTTTTATTTTAAACATTTTTTATTCACATTGTAATTAGAGTCTTCTTCTTTTTTCTCATCTTCAAATAGTTTGAATATATTTTATTTATTAAAACAATAAACAAAACAAATTATTTGATTTTCTGGGACTTTCCGTTGACGAACGGCAATGCGCTACGTTTTTTGGAACCAGATTTCACTTCTGAAATTAATGTTATCTTCTAAAAAACAAACTTAACACGGTAAAACAAATCTTCTTCTTCTTTTTCCTCACCTTAATCCTAACTACTTGGGGTCGGCGACTCTTATCTTAAACTGCCAACTGACACGATCTCCCACATGATCTATGCTCACATCATATCGCATTCAATAATATCCCTTGGTTTCTTCTACCACTTCTTCCTATAAGATTCATTTCTATAATAATTATAATTATAATAATAACAATTATTGTTCTTACAACTTCCGATTCCGCTCTCTTCATAACATGACCAAGGTATCTAAGTCTATTTTCTCTCATCTTATCCACTATTGATGTTACACCTATACTCTGTCTTATATGTTCGTTTCTTATCTTATAATTTCTAGTCACTCCACTCATTCCTCTAAGCATTCTCATCTCTGTTACATTCATTCTCTGTCCTACTTTCTTGCCAACTACCCAACGCTTTGAACCATACATCATAGCAGGTCTTACTACAATCTTATAGAATTTACCTTGCAGTCTGATTGGAATTATATTATCGCATAACACATCAGATGCTTTTCTCTACTTCAACCACCCGCACTTTATCATGTGTTTTATATCCTCGTCAATACGACCGTTTTTTGTACAACTAAACTTATATACTTAAAACTTTTCACCTCTCCTTTCATGTTCTTGACTATTATCACTGAACTCCTCATTTCACCTACCTCGTGTTTTCCTTTGTCAAACTCGTACTCTATATATTCTGTCTTACTTCTACTTATTCTTAAACCCTGTTCTTCAAGAGCTGATCTCCATACCACTAATCATTGAATAATTTCCTCCCTATATTCTTCTATTAACACTATATGGTCAGCAAACAACATGCATCATAGTACCTTTCCTTGTATTTCTCTAGTAATTTCATCCATCACTATAGAAAAAAGTAAGGGCTTAAAGTCGAACCTTGGTATACTTCTACTTTTACCTTAAAATCTAAAATTATTTATTCTAGTCACACGTGTCAAACTTCGAGTAGATATAGGGTACAAAATACAAATAAAATGAATTTAACGAGTGTTATTAAGCGCTAGCCAGTTTGGTAAACTTGTATTTAAAAGTTATTAATCTTAATTATTTTAGATGAAATATAAAATAATGTCAGTCGGAAGACAAATTTTATTATTTAATGTAATTAAATATATAACAATTTCTTAGCTACCCACCGAAGCTAAAATTAAATTAAAATATTTATCAAAATATTAACTTTGTGTTATCTTTTATTAATTCATAGGTGTTATGTTGGTAAGCTGACTGAACAATGGAGACCATGTAGTGATCAATATTATCCATCTGCAGATAAACCTCAGAGATGGCCGGTAATATACATACATAACACAGGTCCTCCTGTTGGAGAAAAAGTACCACAAAAAAGAACAAATGACACTGTTCCAAGTATTAGCAAGTCTTTGGTTGATCAATTTATGTCAGTATTTCAATCTGATGCAGTCAATGCACCAATGAATTCAACGGAAAAAACATTTAATATTACGCATTCCAAAAAGTATGAAGCTGCGTTAACAAATGGGACGCCTCTTTTTCAAATTGTTGATGTAATAGATGATAAAACTAGAAATACTCAGTCCATTAAACTTTATTCATATGGAAATAATATAGTTACTAATAGACTGCTAAAGAGAAGGCCTTACATTTAAAATGATATTAGATACTTGGTATTGTTAAGTATTTACAAAAATTGCACAAAGATTTTTCTTATTTATCTTTTTTAATAGAACCATTTTTGTGTGATTTCTTTCAAATGGGTCTGAAAGTTAAAATTTTGTAAATTATTTATTTTTAATGTGATCAACAAAACTATTAAATTTTTACTAAATTGAGTAGGTTTTGAATTTATTAATTTTAATTGAAATTAAGAAATATACATACAAATAAAATAGCGAAGAAAAAATTATTTACATAACTTTAACTTTAACCCTTTCATTTTATGGAATAAGTAGATGAAGTCAATATAAGTTGAATGACATACGTTTATACCTAATTTGTTCATCATATATTAATATAGGTTATATCAAATTAAAAAATAAGGTCCCTATTATAAACTGTATGACTCTGACAATGACTGAATTTTATTAAAAAAATATCATTCAGAAATTATTATAATGTAATATATTATATATTAATGTTTAAAAATATTGTACGTATTGTATTTAAAATCTACCTCATTTTAATTTTTAATTCTGACTATTTTGGTTGTTTTCCTCAAAGATTAGTTTTAAACATTGAATATTTTTTTAAAATAAAATTGTAACTAGGAAATATATATTTGGTAAATCAATAATGGTTATTTTTTATGGGTTTTTATTCTCACAAAAAAAAACCTGAATGATGTTCATTAAGAAATACTAGTAGGGCAAATACATCAAAGCGAGAAGATTTTGGATCAGAACTTCAACTTAGTGGTGTAATTAACTTTTTGGCGCCCGTAGGCTATATTATTTTTAATATTGAATATAAAAAAGCTTTCCTATTAACTTTTTATCAAGAAAAAGCCGCTTCCAGAAAAATTACGCTACATTTTCTTATCTGTTTATCTTACCCCTTAATATGCCATCACTTCTACTGATTTGAATACTTGTCTAATTTTGAACATTAATTATCAAAATAATATGAAAAAATATAAGGAAGACTAAAATTATTTGTCTCAATGTTTATCATTTAAAAGCTAAATATTACCGATCATCATAATTTGTTACAACAGTACTATTTATTTTAGTATTAGAAGGAAACAGATTGAAACCGTTAACAAGATTCTATGTACAAAAAATGTAATTTCGCTTTGTCAAGTTAATTTTTTGTAAAAATTCAATTAAATTTAGCTCTCTGTTTGTTATTGTTATGGTTATGATTGTTCAATACTTCATATAAGTAGTGTCTTAAAGTTATAGTATGTTAAAGAGATATGTTTTATGATAACTTTTATTTTGATTTATTGATTCGTGATAAATAATTCATTCTGTAGATTGACAAGTCAGTATTATATTTTTCCAGTCAATACATGGATTATTTTTTCAGCTTATGTTAGTTACTTTCAATTTATCTGTTATAAAATGTTCATTCCTTATATCTTTCAATTTTATTTTTTAAATGGCAACAACTATAAATCATAAAGAAAAATTCTAATTAGAGTGCTGTGTCTGTCTGGTTAGGGCATTGCGTTCTTGATTGTTTCTCAGTCATATTTAAATTAATAAGTCGCATCTTCCGTAAATCTTGTAACTGTAGGATTGAATGTTCTTTTGAGAAGAGCATTAAGATAAAAACTTTCAATTAGTCGCCCTAAATAAAATGTCATTCTAATTATTTCAATAGTTTACCAAATGCTTACTCTACTAAGTTTGTATATAATTATTTATTGATTCAATATGAGTCATTAACTTTAGTATTAATCAGCGACTAATATAAAGATTTTACAAAAACATTTTTTGAAGAATTAAGATTTATAAAAGTTTAAATAAATTAAAATTAAAACCTTCATAAGTAATTTGTTTCCAATAAGTTTAAAGATAATTAAGATATATTCATATTGTTTAATCAATAATTTATTACAAATTTCTCACACAATTACAATTTATAAAATCTTAAGGTGTACAACACAACAAACAGTAGAATTAAACTACCTTAATCACAATAAATTACGAATATAAAATCATACTAAAAACAATTGGTAGAAAAAAAAAGCAATGTACAAAAACCTATAGCTTAAAACAATAATATAAACAATAATAACTAGCGTAAAAATATTTAAACAATTTACAAAATTTAATAAATTATGGCGAATTAGTAATTCTGATTACTTACACATTTGGATATCACAAAAAGTTGAAATTAAAACTTAAAATATAGGTGCAATACGTTAACAACGAAAGTTAATGTCAAAACTGTTGAAGACATTAACTTGTAGTTTATTATTTTATAAAAATAAAAGTTAAGAACAAAGAAGGATTTTTTATTATAATAATTATTATAAATAAAAAATAAAGTCGGTCTAGTATTTTTAGTTAATGTACACCTGTAATGGCTTGCAACCAAGGTTTATAGTAAGTTGTTCTCATATAAACTCCAGGTAAGTATGGAGATGCACATTTAATACCATGTGAAACAGTACCAATCAAGGTCCATCGACCGTTGTCTTTCTCTACCATCAGTGGTCCTCCACTATCGCCCTATAAATAAACATTTCAGATTTATAAATAAGAAAACAAATAATTAATGTATGTTAAAATATAAAAGATTTTTATAAGTTGTATTGAATCTGGTTAATCTTAGTAGAACATCACTGTTTGAATATAATTTAATAAAAATAAAATTATAATCAATTGAAATTATATATATAATTGAAATTATAATCAATTAAATTTTTAAGGAAATAGTAATCATATAAAAGAGTATATACAAATCCAAATAGAAAAGGGATCTTAAATCCTTCATATTTATTTCAATTAAACAAGTGTAGTTGTAAACGATAAGCACTTGGATATCTATAAAAAAGATTGTCATTTATGAAATTATGATGAACATTTTTGGTTTAAAAGGTTTTTTTTGTCCTAAGTAAGATAAGAAATAATTATTTAACTATCACTAAATGCATTTTATAAGAACTTAGTCATAGGTAAAAAAAATGAACATTTATACATTTTTTTTTACATTAATTTTCAATTGTTTATGAAAAAACCAATTTAACTTTAAATTAATTTATAATCATATTATTCGATCGATCGATAACTGTAAATTGTAAATATGTATTATTCATCCACATAAAATTAAGCCCAAAGGAAATATATAAATATATATACTATAGATATATATTTATATATATCTATATATTTATAGTATACAAATATGGTAAACACGCAGTAACATATGCAATTTTTTAAATTTTTTTGAATAATAAATTTTAATTTTTTTTTAGAATTCAATCAATAAAAAAGCTAAAGACCGAAAATAGGTTAAAATATCTATAATTTATTGTACATTATTATGTATCATTGTACATATCATTATTTATCATATGTCTTAGGTTCTGTGATTTACCAAGAGTAATTTTTGTTATTATAATAATACAATATCGTTGAAGGTGTTAAAAAAATATATAGTAAGTGGAAATTAAAAAAATTAACGTTTTTATCTCTGCTCAATTAATATATTTTTAAGTGATTACTAATGTTTACTGTATTTCTGTGGTTCCTTAATTTTTTTTTTCATTTCTATGACTTAGTATTTTCTATGTATCTATGGTTTCTTAATATTTCATTTGTTATTCAAAGACTTAAAATAATAACCTTCCTAAAATATGCATTAGTGTAGATGCAATTGAAAATTCTGTATAATTATGTTGAATGGGCTCATATATAAATTTTGTTATTTCTAAATATAATTTTTAATCGCTTGTAAACTCTAAAACATGAAATTAGATAATTATCTAACTTTTATTTAAAGTAAACTATATCTCTAACTACGTTTGATTTAATTATCTGAACCAAAATTAGAAATTTGGAAGTTTAATTTTTTCACTTATTTATTATTTTTTAAATTATTTTATAGTGTAAAATATAATAAAAACAAGTTAAAGAGATTCTTCTCAAGAAATTCTGGATATTATTCTCGAAAAACATAGTAATTTTACATCAATAATTAAGGGTGTTTATGTACATCATAAATAACTAAAAAGATATTTAAGTGGTTATTATTGGTAATTACTCTATTTGAATGTTTTAAGAACTGATTTTTTTACTTATAATATATTATAAAATTGCATTAACATAATAGTGAAAGTTAATTCATTTACAAGATGGTTATTCCTAAATCTGCTAATAATGTTAATTTTAATATTTAAATTGATAACAACTCAAAAAATAATAAAAAAAGAATAAAATAATTTTTTTAACTGGAAACTTTTAAGAACCGGCTTTGGACTTAAATCCCTGAAAAATTAAAAGTTTAAAACCCTTAATAAAATCTAAAATTTTTAATTTTTTATCAAAAGAACCTCTTTTAAACTGATTCCTAAATATTTTAAAGGTTCCAACCTTTGGCTCTATATTTAAATTTTATAGCACATTAAATTAATATAATTTGTATGATTAAAACCTTACTATAAATATGTTAGCTTAAAAATATAATAATTTTTTATTACTTCACAAGAATCCTTCTGGCCGTTTGCATAACCAGCACATAAGAAACTATTCAATATAGTTTTCGAATGACCGCCTTTCTCAAATAGTTCTTGGCAAATTTGATTTTCTAATATAGGAACTTGGACTTCTTGTAAAATACTGGGTACTCCGCCTCCTAAAATTTTACTTCTATTAATATTAATGTATTTGGAAAATAAACAATAAGAATGTTTTAACTTATTTTTACGATGAAGATTTGTTTATTTTTTAAATTTCAAAGCTAGTAGTGTTTTCAATATATTAATTATTTATTTCGTATTTACCATATTTTAACCGACCCCAACCGGTAACGACTGCCATACGACCCGTAAAGTCATCATCTTCGTCTGGCATGCAAATTGGAACGATGTGTTGATCGTATGAGACAGGAGATTCTAATTCAAGCAAAGCTATGTCATTTTCAAATGTGGCCGCATCATATTGTCTATGTACGATGACCCGTTTAATTTTTTTACTGATACTTCTTTTAGACTCCACTTCACCGGTGATATCGTATTCGCCAAATACTGCTACAAGATGCGCTAAAAATCTATCAGAAAATGAAATAAATCTTAAATTCAATAAAAATTAATTGTTTGAGAAGTTTATTATATTTATAAATAGCTATCAAAATCCAAATACTAACATTTTTTCAACCAACAACAAAAAATTAAATGTTCTAATGCAAAAATCAAGTATTTTCAAATTAAATTATCAATTCAATATGATTGAAAGTAATGAACTTAGGAAATTATTTACGTGATTAAACCAATTATGTCTTATAAATCTAAAAGCGGTACTGAATGTAGGATCCTACAAAGTCTGAATCCCACATATTTAGATCCCCCACAATTAAATAAAAATAATTGTTTCCTAGGAACGTTTGCTTAAAATTAATACAAAAAAATTGTTCTCTACCCAGGTTGACAGTGAGCAGCTGATATTACATATTTCTGAGTAATTAATACTCCTCCACATTTGTTTTTGGTAAATAATCCAAGCCACGTGGATTCTTTCACTAACACTTGCCATGGCCATTCTCCAAACGATGATCCAGTACCACCAACGATTCTTCCATTTTTTTTTACTAACGGTCGAATTCCACAAGCTATAAAATAAGTTGTGTTTATTAATACATCATATTAATTAATTATGAAGTCCCAATAGTGTTTAAAAATACAAATCACATTTTTCATTAATTTTAATTTTAAAATTATAATTTTTACCAATGGTTTATTGTACATGAATCATATTATTATTTTATGATGAGTTAATTATTGCTAACGCATATATTATTATTGATGAAATTTGAGATACAATTATTATTAAAATTATTTTATTAGCTTTGATGCGAAGCTGAAAAGGTATTAGTTTTACTGTGTTTTTTTTTGTGTCTCTTACCATTTTTTCTTTTCTCTCATCGAACCGATTTCTTTCAACGATACGTCAAAAGATCAAAAATCGTATCTAGTTGAAGACATTACCCTCAAAAATTGAAAAAATTTCTCTCGTTCCCCGTAAATGGGGAAACCTCCAAAAAAAATTAAAAATTAAAAAATTGCTAATTTTTGAAATTTTTTTTACTTAAAACTGCCATAACTTTTTAAAAAATGTATGGATCAATACAATTTTTGTATAAGAAATAATATTTATATCCCTCTTTCATTCGACATGCTTTATCTTAATCAGGAAATATATAAGGAAATAGCAGATCATATAGTTTTTGGAATAATCCACTAATATTTGAAAATTAAACTTTATCTAAAGATTTGTATCGAAGCTTTTTTTATGATAGTGATTTTAATCACTGTCAGATATCATTATACTTCACCCAACTATGCCACATCATCACTGTGCCGCGACCCCACTGTGCTGGGTTTTTTTATATAAAGTTTTTACTTCATAAAAAATTTTTAATTTATGTATTTATCTTACTTTTTCTATAATCAGTTGGAGCTGTAGTGTAGTCGTTTTCGACATTTAATGTATCCACGAAGATAGTTGTCGCGGGAATTTTTGTAGGTTTCGGCCGTTTGGTTGGACTATCGGTAGGTTTAAATAACTGAACGGGTGTTAAAAGTATAGGAACTTTTGTAGGCTTTGCTGTTGTTGTAGATGGTTCTAGATATGGAGCGTCCGGAGGAGCAATAGGTGTTGGTTTATATGTAGACGTTGTCAATTTTGTAGGTTTAGTTGGTTTTGGGGATTTGGTCGGTTTGATAGTTGAACCCGATGGCTTTTTTATAGGTGTTGGTGATTCGTCATTACTAATAGTTACGTTTAGGGTTTGTTCTCCAGACATAAGAACCTTTTCCAAATCTTCAAAGTTACCTTGTAATGACTGGACTACTTTTTCAACAAACAAGTGTACCTTTTCGTCAAGGTTCTCGTCAGTATGTAATTGAGGTATAGAATTGGTATCTGTTTCATAATCAGTATTTTCAGATAGATCATTTGTTTGATTTGTAATAGGGCTTCGTACAGGGGGGAAAGCAAACGTTTCATTTGAATTAAATGTTGCCGGATCGTAGTTAGTTAAGTTGTATGGATATGGTAGATTTGGTTTATTATTTAATTGAACCGAATCTGAAGTGACAAATACTTGACCTGGAGTTACAGGAGATGGATAATCTGAATCATTAATAAGAGGAGGAGCATAGGTAACAGTAGTTGGCTTGTAACCGCTGCTAGACGAAGAGCCAATTACGGCTAAATGATTATGATTAATCACTGGTTTGGCAGTTGAATATGAAGCACTTCCGGGACCGTGGTACTTATTGTTAACTGCCGTATAAATACTATCACTAGTATGTATAGTACTGCTCAATGTGGTGGGTTTACTAGTCGTGTAATACGTGGGTTTGGACACTAACGGTTTAGCGGATGTATGAATGATTGGATGTCCATTTACTTGCGCGTCACTTGAAGTCGCAGGCACAAATGTTGTATGTTGATAATTTGTCGTGTATGCAGCACTCAATGATGGCTTTCCAGTAACTATAATACTCTGGGAAGGTTTCACATGTGGTCGGTGGTATGTTATTGATTGAGTAGTAGTCGATGTATACTTAATGGGATTTTTAGAATCGGACAAAGAGCTTAATACAATCACTGTAGGCGCTACGGCATCTTGGTCGGCAGTTGGATTTATAGTAGTTGGTTTTACTTCAAAGTGAGGTCCAGGTAAGTGATGGGTAGAGGTAGCAAGACCACCATAATTTGAAGTTGTTGGTCTATATTCGTTATGGTGGTACAATCCAGTTGGTCTTGTAGACGGATATGATTGTGATAGTCCATAGTAAGGAGTTTTAGAATTAGCATCAATGGAACCCCAAGTATAAAGAGCTTGTGAAGAGGAAGACGAATGAGTAAAAGATTCGGCTACAGCAGGCTCAGGATCAGATATAGGTACAGTATGGTTTAATATAGATAAAATGTGATGTATAGAATTGGTCTCTTCTGGTGATTTATTTGGATCGTTAAAAGTTAGTGTGGGTACTAGCACCATATTATCATAATCATCGTGAGATGACGGTCCTTGATATGAAACTGTTGTTGTTTTACGAATATTTGGTATTGAATCAGTCGACTTTGATACAGGTGATGTTTGACCATTTCCAGGAATTTTAATTTTACTTTGAAATCCGTTAGGGGGCGTTGTCTGAAGTATATCTGCCATATTATTACTGGGGTAATTATGAATAAGTGTAAAATTTTTTATCAAGTCTGCGATGTCTTCAGGTCTGTACATATTCTGTACTGCAGTACCATTTCGGTGTAAAAGTATAGTGTCTGCAACTGGTTGCAGTTGAATTTCGGGTTTGATAGAATGAACAGTCGTATCAGACACTGTACTCATTGAGTTTGACGAATGACTTGCTAGGTTATGCTCAAGCGTAGGCCCTTTAACTCCCGGTGGTAATTGGCAACAAGCACCAAATAGAAATACGTCAACGCATGAGCCAATAACTGTACCACCAAGTTGGTTGCATTCGTAGTTAAACATACAAACTCCATCAGGATATGCATTGTTTTTATACGTATTTTCAGTGTTTTTACACGCCTTTGGTACAATTCGATATCCACCAAACTTTCTACCTATAATGTATATATTTAAGCATTAAAATTGATTTTAAATTAAATCAAGTCAAACTAAATAACATTTTTATTATTAAAAAATAATAAAATATGTTAACTACCTTGTGGAATTGAGGTTTCTTGATTAAAAAGAGTATTTTTGTATGACACCTCAAAAGCGGACATATGTAGAGGTATGATTGTGGTTAACCAATAATATGACAGCAGCCGAAGAGCGGTCAAGCAGTTCTGGGACATATTGAGGTCTCATCCTATAACAGAAAATCAATTAAATATGCACTAAATTTCTAAATTAAGATAAACATTGTAAAACTATAAATGCATGATATAATTGTTAATTAGTAGTATTAAAATTAAGCAACACGAAACAGTAAAAAAGATGTTACATATTATTTGTTTGAAAATAATTGTTGGAAACAAATATTTTTTTAACCAATTTTTATAAATGTTATATTTTATAATATTTTGAATTTTATTTAATAATAGGTGATTAACAAAAAGTTAAATTAAGTTAATATAGAATCTAAATATCTCCGTTAAGCTAAAAAGTTTAACTTATTAACTCGTTTATGTCTAGCCTTAGTAATTGTAGTATAAATCAAGATTTTTATCTCATTTTATAATTTGCTTTTCTTTTGTTTTTTCATCATTAATTCTAAGGTAAAATAAATTGTATTATTTTAGAATCGTTTTTCCACATTAAGTAAAAATATAATATGTATAAAAAAATTACGGAACAGAGTAGTTTGCTGTTATACCCAAAATATTTTTGAAAATAAAATGACGATGACTTTTTATTTTAATTCATATATTATTTTAAAGATGATTGATATCATTTTGTGTGAAGCACACAACCGAATGACTGCAGCTGTCATCTTAATCTTTAACACATTCATGAAAAAATTAATGTCATATTAAAATTTCTTTTCTTGCTTTAATTATTTGTAATCTATTTTTTAATACTTAATAAAAATAAATACATGACTTTTCCGTGAACTTTTTTACTCAAGAGTATGTTTTATTCTGTATTTACGTGGACAAAACTATTTGATTACATTTCTTTTAAAGAAAGAAGTCAATAAATATGAAACTAAAAATTAAAAAACAATCATATATCCAAATTAAATATTTAATAAAGGATAAAAATATTGATTTGCTTAAAATACCCAAATACGATTTTAATTGTTAGAAAAATTGCTACAATTGAACCAGCTTTTGAAAAGTAGCTTCATATGTGCATAATATATTGATAGTTATTTGATTATTATGTTTTCAACGATTTAGAAACGTTTGAATTGATAACACACATGTTTTTATGTGCTACTTATACTTAATATATTAAGTAAAAGTAACACAAAAATTCCATATAGTTTTTCTATAAAATTTATGTATTATCAGGAAAACTTATTTACTCGATGATTTTTCCACTTTTTACTCGTTGAATCTGTTATTTTACTACAATATATGACACCTGTTACACTCAATCGAGACAAAGTATATTAACTTGTTTAAAAAAATGTATAAAATTAACTAATTTTTACATTGTTCGATGTTATCTTTTAGTAAATTCATTGAAAACAAAAAATAATATCCATAATTTTAACATTTCAGAAAAATAATAAAAACTAACTATCAGCATACTTATAAATTATCATTTAGTTTTAAATTATTGTTCAATAATAACGAATGCTTTTTAATATGATCAATATGAGTTAGATTTTATACATTGTTAAGTGCTTAATAAAAGTAAATACCTTGTTTTCAAAAACCATATATTTATAAACTAAAAAGTTTTGGCCCTGTTCTTATAAAACTTATTTTATATTACATATAAATTAAGTAAATTTTTTAATAAAAACTTTTAAAAAATTGTGGATTTTTATTATGTGTGATACAATAATTAATGATTTCATAAATACAAAAATTAAGTTTTCTTGGTTATATGATAAAAAATTATAACGCTTACAAAATTAAAAACCATGAAATTAGTATTTTTAAAAAATATTTTCATAATTTTAACTTTATTAACATATCATCATATAATTATCATTAATTAACACATATAAAATTTATCCACTTTTGAATATTATGAAATATTGAAATATTATATATTACAGTTAAACTGGTGTTTTTAATCTAATATGAAATACCTTATAATTGAGTTCCTAACAAAATATTTTTTAATTCTAAAAGAATTTTTTATAAATAATGTGCATTCGAGTGGAACGGTCAATTGAAAACGAGAGTTTTATTCAGATCTATTGTTTTGGACACAACACGTCACGACGAGTTATTGTTAATACTATTGGTATCAAAAATAGAATTACTGTAATTTTTGTTGTCAATAACCAAATTTTATAGTCAAGAATAAAAACAATACAATCTTATAAACAAGCTTTAAATTCGTAGTATAAATATTATTAATTATTATATTTTTTTCAATCAACTTAAAAGTCCACACCCGTTGGAATTGTAGAAGAGTTTCACCATTTTTATTTAAGATTACATGCATTTTAATTATTATACTCAAGCATTTCCGGTATCAATAATAGTTTTCGCATATTATTTATAGTTATTTTTATTTAGACAAAAACTGATAATGAATGAAACGAATAAGTAAATGATTTTTTTTTACAGTGTTCGTCAATAACAAACTTAGTGTGATTGGCTCTACTATGATTTACTTGTTATTATCATTACTGAACAACACGTGTTTGCCGTAGCTATTATATCGTTTACTGCGTTTGGGTCTGATTTTATGTTATTTTTCTGGCAAAAGTCAACAGCACCGGAAGATTTCGTGACTCGTTTGATACTTTCTATGTTTTGGACAATAACATCAAGTACAAAATCTCTGTAAAGTACTGGACATAGTTTTCCTGATATTGACCTTAACTTTCGTAACACACAGCTGTTGTCTGTTTGTGCGGGCGCGAGCCAAGCGAACAGAGTTTCACTTTGCGTTGGTAATTATTATTCATTGGACCGTTTAGCCTACATGTACTCAATGCAAATGAATGTTCATCCAGGTCAGTATAGTTCCGGCAGTGAATGTGTTGTAGTCATTACACTGTTATTATTATCATCGCCATATTAATAATTATTTTAGACATACACTTATTTATTGGCCGGTTCCTATAATAAACCATAATTATTGTTGTTCGCACAGCGCAATCGCAAAATTCATACGTTTCCCATCCTATCAAAGACGACAAAAAAAATAATTCACACGCGCTTTGTAAGCAATACTGTCATTTCTTTCTGTTATATGCATATTTTTGTAATAAATCTGCTGATTTTTTTTTTCTTAAACTCCATGTCTGTTAAAACGAGCATTTTTTCATTTCGACTTTCATTTAATAAAATCTTTAAAATGAATTTATCAAAGCTTAGATTTTAAGATAACTATATTTATTACATGACTGATCAACTTGTTAAGTTAATATAAGTTGAAAAACGATTTTTTTAATTTTTATGACTTTTAAATTCGGCAATAAAAATTATTCGTTCAGTAACAGTTACATAAGATGGTAAACAGATTTTAGAGTAATTTTTGTTAAATTAGGTTTTAAATGAATGCGACTGTTGCTGATGAATTAATTGCTAAGAAAACTTTTAATTGACAAGCAAAAAAGTAATTCTTCTGTATAAAATTTGTCATAGACAGATAATACCTTAAACGAAATAATTTTTTCCGGTAAAATTAATAATTAAAATTAGTTAAATAAATCGACAGATTTAACTCCAAAAAACAATACAAAAATCTGAAAAATCCACACAAAATATTTAACAACTTTCATCTATGTATTGCCTATCGACAAGAATAGTAACATACATAGAAAGAATAAATTTACAGGTGATAAAATAAAATATGTGATATTCTAAAAATGTCGACTAATAACTTTGTAAAAAAATCGATGAATTCAAGTTTTCAAAAAAATGTTCTAATCATGTTGATAAGTGCATTTTTCAAATTCACGTAATTTATAAAATACAAAAATTCCAAATAAAAATGGTTTAAGCAAAATTAGAAATTATCAGATTCGATGACATATATCCTGTTCTTTCAATCATTGTGCTATATTAATTATTAAAATTGTATTATACAATGATGCCATTGGATATCAATATCACCGATGTCAAATCTCACACATTATTATGTTTATTATTATATTCTTATCAATGAGTCATATTAAGGTGATAGGTGGGCGTTTTTTAGAGTATGATACATAGATAGTGTCATTAGCTATAATTAAATTTTGACTGGATAATGAAAAATTTTCACTGAATACATTAACTGTTCGTTGTGTTTGTACATTTTTTTGTGAGATTCAACTTATTCACGTTCAACGATTGTTTTTTTCTTGTAAGCAATCGGTTGTACGTCTAAAACGTGACTTTCATTTTCCTATGGGTCGCGCTTCTAGCTTTTTATCAATAGTTTCTTAATACAGTGCATAAAATAAAAAATAGCAACATCATTTAATCACTTTTTCTCGCTCTATATCGTTTTTGTGCGGCATTGTTTTATTTAATTAAAATGTTCAACTATACAGGGTGTATCTACATGAATCAACACGTTAAATTAACTTTGGCGCCTATTAGCATTTATTTAATACATTTTCTATTTTAATTTTTTTTTGTCAGTGTTTTAATTACTTATACAAAAAAATAAAAAATTATTTGTCACTTTATTTTTTATGGAAAAATGTAGTATCAGCCATTGCGTGTAATCATCAAATATTTTTTGTTTCGTAAATCAACGATTTATATTTATTAAAACATTATTAATAACTTCAATATAATTACCTGTGATTTATTTCTATAAAATTGCTTCGAAGAAAAACGAGTGATAAATAATTAAGGTTAAATAATTTAATATTTAAAAATATTTAATACCGAACAAAAAACTTGGTACAATTAATTAATCAATGTATAATTTATCGAATACCGCGATTCGTAAAAGAAAATTATTACCATCATGTAAACAATAAATTGTTAGTTGATCATTTTCTGTATCGTTTAACTGTTTAAGTATAATAGTTAAATTTAATATAATAATAGTTTGAATATAATAGTTAAACAGTTTACATCATAATAAATGATTTATACATTTTTTTTTTGGCACCTTAATTCGAATATGTAACTTGAAACATTGACAAAAATTTTCTCTTTTATTTCTGAATTCGTAAGCTTAATTTTACTTTTATATGTAACTCGTTTTACACTCAATATATTTTATCGACGTTTTGGCATTGGCTGTCGAATGAGAAATACATTTTAGTTTTGGTAAATATCATAAATATAATCAATTTAATTGTACACGATTATCTAGTTATTTTTTTATTATACTGCACAAATTAGCTATTTATATGTCTAAGTGCATCTATAAAATTTCAGGTTCCAAATATATTTCATTATCATTATACGTTTTTAAATAAAATTGTAGAGAAAATTGAAGATTTTATAAATTAATCTTAACCTAAACACTTATAATAAATATTTAATAAGTATTAATTCGGTTGAATTATGTTTTCGTTTTCACTAATGACTGCTCTTGTTATCATCATGTATAGAAGCCCCGATGAATCGTCATAATGGCACCACTATATACCATAGGGGGAGGTACACTGTAAGTAGTTTACGTAACAAAACTTTAAATAATAATAGTTTGAAAATTCGTTTTAAATTTACAATTAATACAAAATGTGGAATTTTTACATTAATATCATCTTTTTCCAAAATAAAATGCAAAATTTCACAATAGTTATAAAAAGTTTCAGTATAAATTTTTACAACGCTTGACTATATTTAGAATCAATGTCGTGAATTCAATTAAAATATATGTTTGTATTTTTTATTTTTTTTAGTGGATTAAAAGTGAAATCGTCCTAAACTACTTAATATCAACAGTTGTTTTTACTTTTTTTATCATTATATATATATATGAAGAATGCCATTTAATAAGTATCCTATTTAAAAAAATAAAATACCAGAAATCTTATATACTAACTTAATCAGTAGGCAACTGGTTTTATTGATGTTATTTTTATTGTATACTACTTACACACATAAATTATATTAATTTATTAACAAATAATTACAATAATTCTCAATTTCATGAATAATAGAACTTAAAATAGTATGTAACGTGGCTTGTTTAAAATAATTTGATAATTTTGTGGGAAAATGTTAATAAATTTCAAAAATTTTAAGTACCTGGTTTTTTGTCCTACTTTTTTCAAAATAGAAAACACTAGAATGGAATATGATCATCAAATTATAGTTTGTAATAACGTTAGCATGTGATATGATGACTTTATTATATCGAAATAAGACATTGTACTTAATAAAATTTTAACGGGGAATCACACGTTATACTTTCTTGTTTTGATGTTACCTGAGTTTTATAGTAAGTAGTTCCTATTTTTTTTTTTAATGTACATATGATTTATTTGTTTTGTCTCAGATGAAATTTATATAAAACTTTCTTTCTAATCTTGATTTTAGGATTGTATTACTGTAGAGGAATGGACAGGGATCAAATGGAGTTCGGTGCAAAATAGACGAATACAATCACAAGATTATCGAAGGCAACGATCTCACGACTAGTCTTACAATACATTGTTTATGTAGTTAACGCACAAGTGTGGACTTTAATTCGTTAATGTCAACATATATATATATGTCATTAAAAAATTAAGTAAATAGTAAAAGAAAATAGAAATCTGAGTACATTTATGAAGAATTTTTATTGTTAAACATTTTACACCAATATAGTTAAGCCAAAAAAGTTTCTAGGATTTGTGTTATTATAGAATGTTCCGTATGATTTGATAGGTATCATAGATAAATTACGTTTTAAAATAATTTATAAATTATAGGAAAAATAATCTCTAGCTGGTGAAAGTAAGTTGGGGAAATATATGAAAACATCATAAAAATTAATTTAAAAAAGATGATCATATACTTAAAATGAATTAGTAATTATCAAAATTGTTTTATGATTGTTTTGGTTGAAGCCAAACAGATAGTTAATAATATATTTTCATCAGTGAAAGTGAAAGATATCATGAATGTATAATCTAATAAAGTATTTGTGGTCGAATATTTTTTAATATGCGAGTAAATCGAAAAATAAATCGCCAAGATTTCCATATAGTTACAGTGGTCAGGTTTTACATAGTTGTGGTTCATTTTGTTATTGATTTTTCTATTTCTCTCCTGGCGAAAACGTTTTTCTAGTTATTTTCATCCGCATCTGATAATCGGCATCTTAATGCTTTTTAATTTCTCAATGGAATTCTAGTTAAATACAATCATAACATTGTATTAATAATTAAAACTTGGTGGTTTTAAATAGGAAAACAATCTATGGATCGATTTATCATGGCGCGTTTTAGTCGCTTTTACTTTTTTCTTATCTTACACGTTTGTGCGTGCATAATTTTCAGCTGCCACCAAATGAAATGTGTAATAATTAAAACCATAAAATAAAAGCACACATTTGATATGCCGTTGATTAAATTCCGTTATTTAAATAAAGAAAATCTTTCTTAGAATACACTAAAATATTAGTCATTACTACTCGTTTTATTTTCACTATAGAAAACGTGGAATGCGGATGAAAATATTCTGATAGTTCAGATTTTTCTTGTAAACGTTATTTCCATTATCACTCAATGAGATTGTTACACTAGATATTAAGGACGCACTTCTATTCAAATAAATAATAGGTGAATAAATCATCATAAATGACATATTCGATTAATTATATACACACAGCTTTATAATCTTATTCGAATTAAAATATCATATATACCATTTCAGTTCATGAAACTAATGAATAAAAACTTTAAATTGTTTAAAATAAGTTTTATGCGTTATCTTTGAGATCACTTTATTTTAATTCGAGTAATACTTAAAAATGATACAATGTTTTTCTTAAAGAACACTTTTTATAAACAGTTAGTGCCTCTATAACACTTGTTATATATTTATAACAATTCTATTCACTCTTTCCTTCCATAGGAATCCTCATTTATTTGCAAATTTCGTTATATTATATGAAATATTAGCGAAATTACTAGTTATTGAATGACATATTCTTGTCATAAACAATTTGTTCCCAAATTATTTTCGTCTTACGAGATGCTCTTTTGTTTTTCACAAACTTTAGTACGGAACGAGTATTCTTCAAAATATTTAAAATAATTGTAATGCCAGTACTAATATACTTTCTAACGTGGAAAGACACGTATAACATAATATTCGTTAATGCATTTCGAGGAATACACCATGTATTCCTCCGTACGTTATGGAAAATCGAAAACAGTTTTTACTTTTCAATTGGATTTTTTTTTTAATAATGAAGAAAGCGTGTGTGATTTACTGTATTTGGTAATATACTAGAAAATGATCGAACAAATCAAACGTATTTTCTCTATTGTTACAGATATATTTTTGTTTTTAAATTAATAATATTATTGTAAAATATGTATTTGTATACTTTACCGTTTTCTTTGGTTCATCAGCGTAACAATAATTTCTCTTTTTTATTTATACAATACTATTGTTATTTATATTAAACATTTATCGGTTTTCTCCGATTTTAATAATCCAAAAACAACAGGCGAATTGCAAACGTATAAATAAAAATAACGCGATTAGATTTGTACGTGGAAACATGTGTATCTTAGAAAACCATGTCATTATTTTTTATTTTTAAACAAAGAGTAGTATCATGTTTGTAAAGTTTTTATAAATCAACCAAACAAAAAACTATTTAACGTCCACAAATTGTTTTATTTATTGATAATTCAAGTATTTGATTTATACTAAAAGTTCAAATCACCAGTACCATAGAGAATCGAGATTAGCCTTTAGAGTAATGTATTGTGATTTTAAAAAATGACAAGAAAACCAAGTCGTTCCGTGAACTAATATATTTTACGAATTGGTTTTTCTTTTTCTTTTTTTTAGAATCAATATGTCATTAGTGATCTCCACAGATCTATTTGTTGTTAGATACACGACTGACCAAGGACTGACAATGGTTTAAACAAATACAAGAGAATGTGTTGAAGTGGACTAGATCGAACACGCAATCAACGATATTCGTATGAAACAGCTCCTTGTCAATGTGTTTGCTAGGATAAACCTCTCCATTGATCTCTAAAGATCTATTGCTGTTATTATAAATTCTTTCGTTACTTCGAATATTGTAAACCTCGAACTTTAAAAACATTTATTATGTTACAATACCATTAAGTGAAATTAAAAATTTATTTATTCCACCTAGCAAAAGACAGCGAAAGTGACGAATAAATTAAATATAAGATTTGATCTTGCATGTGAAACCATATCGAGCACTTAGACGGGATAAAGGTAATATTAATTAATGATGTTATAGTAAACTTGTAAATATACTGTAAGTTAAATCGATTACCGATCATCGAATTATGAGAAAAACACAATTATCATGGCACGTCATCGCCGTTATTCGCATCATCATCAAATTTCAGTTAGTTAGAAGGGCTAAACATTAAAAAATTTACGAAAACACTGATTTACAGTTAGTATTGTGGATATAAAGACAAGTAAAAATTGGATTTTGGAGATGTAAAACCAATGATAATGATTTTTCTCTTCTATACTAACAACAACCATTTATGTATGTGTTATGAATTTTTAATTGAGTTGTAAATTATACATCTGATGAATGTTTTGTAAGAATAAATTAACTATCAGTGACTTTAACGCCCATGTCGCTTGTGTAGACAATACGCTTTACTCGTTTCCTATTTTGTATTATCAGCTTTATGTGTCTTTAATAAGAAAAAGTAATTAATTAGTGATTAATTATATTTCTCGTAAGAAGTATAACGGCTTCATGTTTTGGTTGGTCACGCGATTCTATGTCCTATTTATATATTTATATATTGAGTACTGTTATTTTTTCTTAACAATTCATATTCGACAATCGGATGTACATAATAATATATCTCACCTATACAAATCAGTTGTATTTTCGATTTCTCTTGGTCAATTATTTCAGATTTGAACAACGAGTACATCTCTTATAAATAATGTATTAGAGTGATAAGAATGAGACATTTGGCAAAATGAAAAAAAATCAGAATTAGATGCATGCAATATCGTTTTAAAATATTTGCACGTTTATTATTAGTTTTCTATGAAATAAAGATGAATAAGAAGAATATTTAAAAAACCATGTTATTTTAAAAATAACATAAATTAAAAAATATTATTAATGTTGATTATTAATTGTTGAATAAACTATAATTAAAAACAAATTAAACTATTAAAACCACGAAGTGTATCACAGTTGTTAAAATATGTGTTACTTGTAGTGCTCATGGCAAATAGTAACAATTATGCGAAATTCATAAAATTCCATATTTCATAATTTCTATTAATTTATAAATTAATGTATTAAATTCATAAAGTTCCTATAATATATAATATAAAACGCACGTGCGTTTTGTTTTCTATACAAATTGACCAACCAATAAACAGGTGGTTTTCCTTACCTTAATATGAAAGAAAACTAAAAGGCCATTAAGCTGCAAAATCTATGAAATATGCTTATATATAAAATTATTAATTTTTAAAAATTTGAGTTTTTAATTTTTAACAAAATTTATAATTGTTTTCAAAAATTACTCCAAAATCTATATAAAATTATATTAATGGACAAAATTTAAGTTATTACTTGTAATACTTGTCTGATAATATGCCTTGAATTAATAGTTTACGTTGATACATTAATTCTACACTTATTTTTAATTATTTATATTGACTATTAATTGTATAAATATTGATAAGTTTGTTTTATTATTCCTTAGTAATTATTTAAATTTAATAGTGCTCGACAGACACATAGTTAAATAGACCATTAAACATAGCCTTTTTAATAATAAATGTCGTAAAAAAGTATTATATATATATATAAAAAAAAATAGATCATCACTTGTGGTAAAAATGATATAAAATTAAAATTATATGAAAAATATTGACTTAAAACTAAACATTTATTAAAATATCTAATTCAAAAAGCCACATAAAAACTACTAAAAAATCGCAGATAAGTATTTTATTTTTTATACTTCCATATAGTACAATGATGTTTGTAATTTTTTTTTATTAAATTACTTACGACAAATACACGACGATTGTTGTTTTTAGTATTAAATTAAAGACATTTTTTTGTATTATAAGACATGTAACCACAAATACCTCAAAAGTTAAACTACTTCCTTATCGTAGCAAATATTTTTGATTATGTATACATCTAGTATTCTTTTAATTTAATTTTTTTGAGACATATTATCTTTATTTACTTTATATTCAATAGTGTCTAGTAAATTATATTTGATTTTACTAGTATGAAAATAAATACTAAACCAAAACATTAAAGAATCCCATGTATATTTTGTTTTTTATATTGAGGAATAAAATGACCGAATTAAACTTGAAGTGTGTGAACTGTAATAGATTACTATAGATTTATCAAACTTAAAAAATCTCTTACAATGATTATTTTGCGATGTTATAAAATATGTAATTTTCACTATATTACGGTTATAACGTATAATTGGGTGATTACAATTTTATTATTAAGATAAAATGCATTAAGTGTACGCCACGTGAACACTGATACAGTTATATATCTTGATATTATTTTTTTGGTATGTTAGTAGTTTATTTAGTCCGCACACAAATGTATACTAAATAGAATTCATATTTTTATACTTTGATATAAAAGAATTTATAGACAGATATACTTTATATAATTTTTTAATTTAATAACAACTATAAATTCCACATAGCTGTATTTTATTTTAAATAAGTAAGTCTGGAATTGTATAAGTTTTGTTTAATTATTTATTGAAGTTGTAATACATATTATAATATAAACCGAATGAAAGTTCCATCTATTAATCAATAACTTTTTTCACTAAAAAAAAAAAAAGAAAAGTTAATGCTCCCATTAATTTTAAGGTTAAATTTTTGCTAATTTTAAAACAATACGTTATTTAGTTGAACAAAGGTAACTGCAGTACTGTTATTCAGTATAATTAGTCTTTACTATAATATACAACGTGCATTATTTTTATAAAATTTCAGTAATTTTATATTTGATAACATTTTTAAAGTTTTATTTTTATTCGCGTGTAACAACAAATAACTATAAATCTGCTTATGTCGATTAAAAATAATTCAAGTTATTTGCATTGAACTTGTAATTTGAAAAAAGCAGTAACTCGTAATTAATTAGAGCTACTTATTAAAATAAAGTTAGCATCAAAGCACAAATTTTTACTTTGTTTTAAATTATTGTTCTTCTGCTTATAGTCACGTTACATACTTAAACTATTAGTAACAAGTTGTACTGTTAAAAAATATTTACAGAAAAATAAAAGTATGTTATGCATGGCAATTTAAATGATATAGTTGACTGTTTTATAAAAATCATTAAGATATTTTTCAAATCCTAATTTATTTATTAAAAAAAAATTCTAAAATTAATAAATAAGGCCGTTAAATTAATGACCGATTGGCTATATAATAAATATAACCAAATATAATAATAATAATAATGTATATTAGTGAATTGAGGTTTAAATTGAACTTAAAAAGAAATTATATTTATTGTGAGAATATAAATAATTACCAGGAAAAGTAAAGTTTGATTAGTAAAGTTACCGAAAATTTATCTTAGATTGAATAACATTTACAGGAAAACGTTCTCGAGTCTGTCGATGGTTTCTGAATTTGACATAAAAGCGTAAAAATGGAAATTACAAATCTATGTAGGCCAACGTGCTTAGCAAAAGGAAGTTCCAGTCACCCGGTTTATTTCGTCATACGAATAATAACGACAACGGTCGTTTAGAATTTTGCTTTTCATACTTTCGCTAATCCGCTTTAAACATTTGCGTAGGACGTTTCGACATTATCATTATATTAATTTAATAAAAGAATATACAATGTAGCCATTATGAACGCCATTAAGCTCGTGTTATTAACATTTAAAGGTTTAGTTGAGTAATAAAATAAATAGCCTGTGATAACCAAAATAAATAAGCTATTCAACTACATGCATACAGCAGAGTAAACTTTTATGTTGAAATATTACTATCTCCATAATGTCATGAATAATGGGCTGCCTAAATGTTTAAAGTGTACACTTTTGCACAGTAATTTAAAAAAAGACGAATAAAGTTTTAAACCAAACACAAAAATCACCAACATTCATCAATCAGATAAAATAATGGCTAAACGTCTTACCAGTCAACGAGTTGCAATTTGTCGCGATTCAATCTTTGCGAAGGAATTGCTATTTACTAGACAATATTCTGAACCGCAGTCTGTGATCTTTGATTAACTCTCCCGATACACCTCACGTAATTTTGTACATATTAGGACTTGAATTGAAGTGTAACCGCTTAATGGTTAATAGATACGATTAAAAAATGAACTTTTATCAACTTTGCACTTTTCAACGCATAACAGTCAAGTTAAAATACGTTATCCGAACAAGAAACGGAGAATGATATTTTTTGGAACCTTTCGAGTTGCAGAGAACAATACGCCGGAAATTCGTAAAAATGTGACTCAAAAGATTCCCGAGAAGAAGACGACCGACGGCGGTGGCGATGACCGACGACGAGGAGATCGAACGGAAGACGATAACAGTGTGTACGCCTTGAACTCTCTGCCGAAATGGGAAACCTTGAACTGAACCGAGTAACCGGTCTGTTGATTGTCCTACTGACTCAGTCATCGAAATCCAAACGGAATTTACGGTGTGACTGCGACGGCTGCCGTCTGCGCCAAGAGAGGGGCACGCGCGAGTAGGGAGGCCGAAGAATTCTCTGGCCGCCGATCTAATAGGTAACGGCGGTGCACGCTTATTAAGATTCTTTTGCTCTTTTTACTAGAAATTCATTATTTACAAATGATAATTATTAGAAAAATTATCCATCGCGCTTACCTTCACTTTTACGCTAAACAAAAAGTTCACTTTTTATCACGCCAAAAGTGTAACGAAAAGTATTGTATTTATAATTTCAACGAGATAATGTTTTAGCTCCGAATTTTATAGTACAATATTTATTTTTTTTTAATTGACAAAATTAATCTGTTGACCGTTCATCGACAGTGGCCTACAGCCGTGTTTCGCGGAGCTATGGCTGCATCTCTTCCTTCCATTGACCGTGTCATACGTGATGATTAATTATTAACAATGTTATAATATTCAGCCTCGTGGGTCAAAAGTAATTTAATTTTTAGTCAATATGACAGGTCTTATTTTTTTTATTGTTTCAAACACGCGCATCGAAGCGTTTTACCACAGTGATTTTAATCACTGACAGATATTAATCACATTGTATTTTCATGTAAAACGTGATAAATACATACCCTCATACTTTAGTTAAAAAACTAATTCAAATATCTGTGTTGAATATAAATTTTATAGAAAATAAAAACACACTTTTCATAGATTCACGTGGTTTAGATAAAGGGTATTTTCCTTCTTATGTAAGTTCTAGTTTTTGTGACTTTCCACGTCGTGGTCTCGATTTTAACTTTATGTCAAAAGTTAATTTTTAATAAAAATTTAATTAAAAAAGTTTTACATAATCATTTGTTTTTGAAATATATCAGTAATTTATCTAATATGTATCCATTACCGTTAGCTTGTATTATTAACTAGTATCTATTTAGTCTAGATGTGAATCGTATTCCGGTATACTATAATACGCATCACATTTGTACATACACCTATTTGTATGGGCACTCCATAACGGTAACCAAGTATATTAATTTAGTTACCTGTTTTGACAAACATATTTCTATTTATGATGTTATTGTATCATTTTTATTAGTCTAAACTAATAAAAATATTAAGTAGATTCTATTTAGTTTCGGCTTAGCCACAGCGTGTCAAAACAATCGAAACGTGAATTTTCATAATTGTGTTTAATTTGACTATTTTAGACTTGCAAACTACAAGTAAGTGTTTATATTTATGTGCGCTTAACAGTGACGTAGCTAAGGGGTAGGCTAAAAAGACTATAGTCCCCATTAGCTAATTATTACTATTGACAGTATATGACTTCACAGTAATAATAATATGTGATAATCCAAATAAAAAAAAAAAAAAAGAAAAGTTGTTTGTCCTATTTAAGCTAAAATCCTGACTACATCACTGACGCTAAGCCAATTTCATGATCAAAGTTATTTTTACAATCAATGATGCTATCAAAAGGCGATAGGACCGGTCTATACCGGCGGACATTGAACGTTTAGACTGATTTTAGCCAATAATCCATTTGGAAAAAATATAAGGTATAAAAATATTAAATCCGTAATATTTTTATGAAATTCTGTTCAATACATTTTATCTTTAATACAATCCATTAAGATCCTCATAACAGAGCATTACCCTTGTTAACCATACTAAAACATGCTAGAATTCTAATAACGCCATTTTTAACTTAAAAATTAATTTAGAATTGCTAGGACAAGAAAAAATTAAATCCAAATTCTATAGAGTTTGCGTATAGTAAAAAAATTATAAATACTTAAGCGAAGCACTTATTATAACAAGTAATACATTTATTTAAGTAGGGAAACGCTTCCTTCAAGAATTCTTACAATATGTTTATAGCTGTTGTATCAGATTTTAATTTATCAACAACATCCTAGTATGATTAAGCATTTTTTTATTATAGAGAGAGCTATTTGAATTTAATTATTAGGAACAAATAAGTAAGTTCTTTTGCCTTTGTACGGAAAGAACGCAGCTATTCTAATGCTATTAAATTGCATATTTTGTTTAACGCATATCAATTGTCATTGCGAGTTCAATGAATTCATTATTTATCAAATACTTATTTTATTAAATTAGTTGGTTGTATGTTATTTTCTCAATAGCTATAATTTTATAATATGACTTTACGTATAATCGTAAAGTGAAGATATCATCAAAAACAAAAAATATCAAATATATAAATCTAATTCATTTTTTTCAATAATGTTTGAAACTAAATTAAATATCATATTTATATTTATATTAAAGATTATTGTGAATTATATACATGCATGTAAGATTTTGTCACAATACGCTAAAAATAATTAAAAACTATATTTTTTATTTTATGTAAAATTTCTAAAGTAGTAATTCAATTCAAGAAATTAATTTAATTCAATAAATCTGTACACTAATAATAAACTATTTCAAGTCATTTTTTAAAAAATAAGGTAAGACCATAACACCAGTATTTTAATATATGAAGCCGACAATTACGAAACATGTCTTTAAAGACCTTTTTTTTTTTGTCATCAATTGGTTATTTTTAGGAATACATTTTTCTCTAGCATTCTTATCATAGTAAAATAAAATTCCACACCGAAAAAGAGTTCTTAATATAAACTAATTATTATTGTTTACTAATTTTGAAAAAAAATCTGTCTTGTGGTAGTTTATCTTTAGTTTATATAAATTGACCTAGTACCCCTTAGATAGGGTATTTTTCATTGGAACTTATACAGAACCAATCGGCATAGTATACATAATACATACATCAATATTACGTGTATAAAATTATAGTTTTACATTTTATAATTATAATTTGCATTGCGTGTACTCTCTTGTTTTACTGCTAAATACGATTAGCCAAGGATTTATATTTCAAAGGAAAATAGAAATAAAACCGACGACAAAAATAAAAAGTGACAAAATATTTTTAATATTCAGAAAAAAAATTATTCAATAATTTTAGGGTAATATATGATTAAAAATTTTCAATACCAGGGCCGATTTTTACGAAAGCGTGTACCGACAAATTTTTAGTAAAACGAGACAAAGAAATAATACAAATATGAATGATTTTGATATTATTATTATTGTTATTGTTAAAAATTGTTTTTCAAAAGAGATGTTTTTTGGGCTTAAAAACTTAATGGTATGGTAATGTATACTTAATGGTAATGTCCTTTTAATAGAATTTTGCATTTTAAACAAAAAAACAAAATGAAATGGCCATTGTCGAAACAAATTTTCTCTTTTGCTGATCAATTTAGTTGTAATACTGTAGCTTAACCCTCTAATGTGGAAGAGAGAAATCATGTCAATGCATTATGTGTTAAGTTTATAGCGATATAATGATATTTATTACTCGCTTAACTGGAAAACGGTCTTGAACAAATAATGCTATACCAGGACATTACTAAATGCGTTTTCTTTTTACCAACCACTGGGTATTGAATATGTCATGTACTTTATTTCAGGTGGCTTGTTGACAATAAGAAGTAAAATACTAACAAAATTTACTACTTTCACGTATTTTAGTATTTCAGTGGACTATTACTCACCATGGCCATTTAAGTAGAAATGCATTTTCGACCTAAATGCAATATTCATATGAATGATTATTATGAAAATATATATATATATATGTCTACATACTGAGTGATTGTACTTAGTTTTAATATCCCAGAAATGTAGTTTTTTTTAAAGAATGAAGTGTGGCCAATATGTTAATGATTATTCTTGTTTTATGTAAGTTGAGCTGTAGTAAAACAACTTTTTAAGTTAAAAGTATTTGTTATACTTTGGTTTTAGAAAAAAACATATAGCAATCTACATTAATAAATATTAAGTATAAAATAAATACTCGAACTATTATGTACATTTATGATACATAAAGTATGTACCATTTAAATATCTTTTGTGGACATCTCAACAGTCGGTTTTGACCACAACATATGCTTCTTGTTCATTTATAAGATAGTAACTAATAACAATAAAAATATTGACTGTAGAATATTAATAATAATAATAAACTTTGAAAATGTTTATATTTCATATGGCCTATTTTCTTCAATATCAGGTCGAACTCACTTTTTCTATCATTTTGGTTATTACTTCATTTGTTTCACTTTTTTTATAATTGTTTTTTTTATTTGTAAAATTCTTTAGAAGCCATTCCGAAGCTAAAAATATGGAGTAGTAAAAAACTTTTTTTTTTCAAACTACATAAATTTTTAAAAATTGTGTAACATTATTTTTTAATTATTAATTTTTGATAGAATTATTATGTATTGAAAAATTGCCTAATGAAATGATTAAATATTAACTACTGGGAGATGAGACCTTGATGGTCCAAAGTCTTTTCCATAATGACTTTCTACGCTTCTCTGACTATCGCTAATATTTCTACATTTTTTAAGATCCTTTCTAACTCGGTATTTCCATCGTTGACTTGTACGTATTCTTGGTCTTGTTCCATTAGGTTTTCACACTGATACTTCATAATATAAGCCTGTCTTTTGCCATACACTCTTGTCCTGCATAGCTATTTTTGTAATATATATCTTTTAGATAAGAGGTATACTATATGTATGTTGATTGTGACAGTACAATTAGTGTATTAGCACAATGGATCTGTGGGTCTCAGTATATGGGCAGTTCTTGCCCATCTCTCTAATAATTAAAACTAAAATTAAACTTAGAGTATTATTTCATTAATTGCTAGTAGACAAAGTAAATGTAAAAAATATTTCACTAATAAATATTGTTAATTGTTTTATAGTGAGGAGAGAGGAATCGGAAGCTATAAGAAGAGTTATAGAAATGAATGTTGAAGAAGAAGAGGGTAAAGGAAGACCAAAATAGATATGGAGGGATGTAATTGAATGCGATATAAGCACGACTGATGTGAGCGTAGATCATGTGGGAGATCGTGTCAAGTGGAAGTTTAGGATAAGGGTGGCCTACCCCAAGTAGTTGGGATTAAGATGAGGAAAAAGAAGAAGAAGATTTGTTTCACTGTGTTAAATTTGTTTGTTAGAAGATAACATTAATTCCAGAAGCGAAATCTAGTTCCAAAAAACGTAGTGTATTGCCGTCCATCAACAAAAAGTTCCATAAAATCAAATAATTTGTTTTGTTCATTGTTTTAATAAATAAAAATATATTCAAACCATTTGTAATATAATAATAATAAAAATATTTAGGTTCAAAAAAAAATTTATATACCCTAAAAATATTTAAAAAAAGTCAAAACATGCCAAACAAGAAAATAAAACCAAAAAAATTATATATTACATTTTCTCAAGCTTTTATTTAAAACTAGTAATGGACACTTTAGAATATTTTTTATACAGCCGAATAGATTGGATAATTATCGAATAGTTATTAAATGACTATCAATTATTTCGAATAATAATTCAATAGTTACTATTCGATATTTCGCATCACTAGTATTTATTGCTGCCCCTCTTTTGTTAAATTTTTGATTAATTAAAAATAAAAAATTGAACCTCACTACGATAGTAGGGAGGTGTGGTGTAAAGCCTTTCACGGGTCTGTGAGTCATACCTCTTTTTAGTACCCGTAGACATTTTGGTCTAAGTATTGAATAGGCAAGGGGGAGGATAAAACTAATAAAAATAAAAATAAATGAGAAATAATTTCAGTATTGTTTTTTATATTAATAAAATTTATTCTCTGGCGGAAACATTGATGCTTCTATAATACTATAATAGAGTATTTAAAAAAAAAAAGTTTTTTAATCCTAATAATGAATTAGAGAATTCAAAAAAACAAATCATTACCACAATTTCTTATGTATTATCTTATCAAAGCGATGATGCTAACTTCATACATATAAACATTCCAATCTTCAGATGCAATGAACGGCCGGCTTTGTCCATGTTATACTTTTTGGATTAGTCGTAGTATCTTTTCTAATATCTATGTACATTGTTTAGGTACATAAAAAATAAAAATAACCAACAAGAAAAATTTTGTATTGTTTCTCTATATTCCAATTTGTGTAGTTTTGTCTATGTCTGTGGTATTGAAGTTTTCGAATCAGTATTCATGGAACTATGAACCTGGATTCATTGTCATATACGTTGTCGCAAATCAGCTATCTCGTTGCTAATTTGTCGAAAAAAAATTATAAGTCTAGTGTTCAAGAAATAACTGACGTAAGTCATTTAAAAGACGCGATTCTTATTACCATCCAGAATTTAGTTTAATTAAATACGTAACAATAGTAATATGAATTTTTTTACTATTGAAAAAAAAGATAAATTAGTAAAAAAACTGTAATAGAGGTTGGATAATGAATACAATGAATAATAAAATAATTATTTTTATAATCCATTTTGTATTATTATTAAATAACATTTTAGTACCTATAATACTAAATAACCCATACTTTAAATAAACTAACTCAAAAATTAAATATACTGATAATTATATAGACTATTATAATATAATTATATATATACTAATATTAATTTAATTTTAATAAAATGTCTTAATTTATTATTAATTTTTTCAATTATAGTGAACTAAGAAATTTAGATTTATAAAATTATTCAATCATTTAAATTTTTATAAAATATTCTGTTAACTTTTAAATATTTTAATTTATAGTATGTTAGTAGTATTATTATTCTCAGTATATTATATTAAAATTATTATGTAACATACATAAAATTTTACAGTTTAATTATTTTATAAAATTATTCTTAAACAGATAATTTGTTTAAAAATTGATATAGGTTGGTTTTTTACGTAAAAAAATTATAAAAAGTTATTTGTTTTTATTTATTTCATGATTACTTTTCTACTTATAAGTACTAAGTTAATAACTTTTTTTTAAGGCTATACAACTTCAAGGATTTGAAGCTGACCGTCATTTATTGCGTTGTTTATTTTCCTTAGTAGATCTTAAAGATATTGAAGGACCTAGAAATACATCACATAAAGATTATTACCAAGTTCAACTATTAGTGCATCAGTGCAAAACTCTTTTGAATAAGCCCTCGCTTATTTCAATTTTGTGTTTTGCACTAGATAATCCACTTACTATTGCCAAAGTAAGTAATTTACTGACTTTTTGTATTCTTAATTGTTTAATTATTTATTGATAATTTTATATAAATAGCCATTGAAGCCATCAATACAGCTATTTTTACAGCTAAGCAGAATATTACATCTTAGTCCTGTTCAAGAAGTTGTTTTTGGACTTGTGTGCTTGGAATCTACTAATTATTCAACTTATGCTTTAGAATTTGTCAAATTGAAATTACCAGAATTGATTAAATCTTATACAAATTCAGGTTTATACACACTCATACAAATATATATATATATAAATTATTAAATTAAATTATATCAATGATTATTGTTGATTATATTAGGGCTTTTTTTTTTCAAAAGCTGATAAGTTACAAAAACGACAATTTGATAATTTTTCTAATTGTGTAAAGTGAATATTTTTGTCTGTTACGTGTCAAAAAATAATCAAACTATTTTTTGTTGGGAAAGTTTTTTTTTTAAAAATTGTAATTAAAAAAAAAATATTGTTTCATGTTTATTTTTGTTGAAATAATTTTTTTTTTTTGCTATTCCGAGAAATTAATAAAATTACATATTTGCCTTTGAAAATGACCACAGATATTTACTATACTTTAATTTGTCTGTAGATTTCAATACTGATCAAGTCACAGAAGGTGGATTACACGATTCAAGTCCTGAAGTTCTTCATTTGATTTTAAGTCAAGTATTCACTGTTAATAAAATAGATTTTGGTATGTAAGACTAATATTCTATTTTTCTTTACTTTAAAAATAATATTGAAATTATTTTACTATAACTCCTTAAATTTTTTAAATTAATTTTTTTTTTATCATATTTTTTTTAAATAAAAGTTTATTTTAATGTTAATTCCCTTAAGCATTTATTAAACATATTATAAATATTTTGAAGGTAAATATTCAAAATCGGACAGACTTAAAATAAATTAAAATCTTTTTCTTTACTGACATTTACAACTCTATTAGACTTTATCGCCATCATTACATCCCTCCATCTCTCTCGATCTTGCACAATTTCTTTTCATTCTTGCACTCCTGACGCTTTAAGATCCTCTTCTATTACTTTTAGTCACCGTTCTACCTTGAAGACTTCTCCCTTCCAGTTTCCATTCCATATCTACTATGATGATTTCTTCTTAGCTTCTTCTCATAATATGGCCTAGCCACTAAATTCTTTGTCCTTTTATGTAACTAATGACTGGTGCTAGGCCCAGTTCTTCCTGAACTTCCTTGATGAACTTCCTTCTTCATTCATTTGTCCTTGTATCACAAACTGGTCTGCATATCATCCTCCATATTTTATTTTCAAAAGTTCTAAGTCGTCTCCCTGTCACACTTGTTGTTGTCCACACTTCACGCCCATAAGTAAGAGTGAGTCTAATCATCACAGTGTACAGTCTTAATTTTGTTTTCTTGAAGAAAGTATTAGATTTGAAGAATTTGGACAGTGCAAAGGAGGCTCTTCCTGCCTTTGCTATCCTCACACCAATCTCAGTACAATAATTGTTTGTACTAAACAGCACACCTAGATGTTAGAATTCTTCAACCTTTTTCAAAAGCTATTGCATCTAGGTTGTCTTAGTATGGTTCTCCGTCGAGAAGTTCCATGATTTTGGTTTTTTCCTCATTAATTCATAACCCTACTTTTGCTTTGGCCCTTTCCAAAGCCGTGGTTAAACCTAGAGCACCCTCCAGTGTAAATCCTCCATCTGCTCTTCATGCCAAGTCTTCTGACAGATTTTAAATATGAAGTATCATATTTCTTTTCCACTTGATTTAATCACTTCCACTTGGATATTGTCTGACTTAGGTACTTTCTAGTTCTTGAGGCTGTATATTGCTCTATCAACTTCTTTGTGTATTATATTGCTTACCGGAGGTTCAGCTTTTTAATATATTGTCTTTCTCACGGGGTTCACTGATATATCACTAAGTTTCACTTACCTTTTGTAAAATATATTCTATCAACTTCTTCGTTCCCTTTCATGAACTTCTTTTCTATTTTGATCATGCAGCAAATATCTGGATCAGATACTTATCTCTAGTTTGTTTTCACTTTTTGACTGCTTTACGACAAACTTTATTAACCATTTGTTATTTTTATTTTGTGTAATATCAATTACTTGTTCTGAAATTTCCTTTATAATTTTGCTTAATTTGGATAAGACCAGTATCATTGCTAATGTCATGTACTCTTTCTTTTCCTATTATTGAGAGAAAATGTATTTCTTTTCCATATTATGCATTCAGATCCACAAACACAATTTTTATAGTGTTTACTAGTAGCTTAACATATGTTCTATCAAGATCTTTGTAAATAGTATACTTCATGTTGTCCTCACTTGTGTCAGTAGGAGCATGTACATATACTAATATAAGATCTATTTACCTGCTATTTATTCTCAACACTGTGATTCTTTCCGAGACTGGTCTAAATTCTTTAATATGTGGTACCAACGACTTGTGTAATGCAAAACCCCTTCCTTAACTGTTGTCTACCATTCCTAAGAAATATTTCATAATCGTTTAATCTTAATTGTCCTGTTCCTTTCCATCATATTTCCTGCAGTGCTACCACTTTAACTCCATATGTCCTTAAGACTTCCACTAGATTCTGACATACGGCAGTTCTGTAGAGGCTTAATAAGTTCAAAGTCACAATTTTAAAATATACCTTCTGATTTCTGTGTCTAAAAGTAAAACCATAACAATGTGTTTTTTCTAAGATAGGGTTGTCAGCCCTATGCTGAACCCCCAATCCGGAGGACCAGACCACACCAACCACTTAAGGCCAGCATGGGGCCTTAAATCTCATCATAGTATTAAAATTAGAATACAGTAAAAACTGAACTAGTGAATCCAAATATTTTTTCCCCATAATTTATGTTTTAAAGATATAATAAAATAGTGAAAAGTCATGTAATATATATATATATATATAATATATAATTTGATAATATTCTAGGTATAAGTAAAGAAAGTAAAGAAGTATTATTACAAAATTTACAACGTGACTTTCCTCTTGAAGTTGCACCCGTTTTATTGGCTCCATTGATATATCCCGATAAACTAGACTGTCCTATGGATAAAATAAATCTAGATACATCATCAATTTCCAATACTATGGTTTTAATATTTATTCTAATAAAATATGTTTGTTAATTATCTATATATATATATATATTTTTTTTTTGTGTGTAGCTGGACTCATCTTTAGCTGATTTAATAATGGAAATGGGTTATTCAGTTTGTGTTTCAATTGAGGAATGTCGAAGAAATTTAATTTCAGTGTCAAATGGTAGTAATAAATCAATTATTTTTGGAGCACCGTCAATTGCCAAAGTATTGTCAATGATGATATGTACTCACTCTATATTAGATCGTCATATAAATTTACCATACTGGCCTGGTGATAATCTTAATAATGATTTAGAAAAAAATGGAAACATTGAATTAAATACTTGGAATGTGGAAGTTTTTGTCCAAACTATCAATGATTTGGTAATATTTAGTATTCATAATCACAATAATCTTGTTGTTTTCTTTAAATGAAAATATATAAATACAAATATTTTTTGTTCCAGAATCCATCTCTTTCTTGGTTGGATGTTATTAAAGAATTGGATCATGCTGAGTTTATTGTTAAAGATAGAAAAGGTTTGGCTATCCTTTTTTCTGCACTTCGTCTTGGTTTAAACAGACAAGGATATCAAATAGAAAATTTCCCTATTGAAATGATTTATAGAAATTGGTCATGTTCTGAAGCACAAGTAATTGTTAAATTTATTAGTTGAAATGTTTTATTATTTATTTATTATATAAAAAAAAAAAAATGTCTTATTATTAATTTAAGATGTCTTTAGTACAACATATACTTCAAAATTCTGATATATTTTGTTTTGCTGATTATCCTTACCGATCAATATCAATTGATTTATTAAAAGTTATACCAGAAACTGATAATAAAGATATAAACAATTGGTAATTATTTTCATTGTATAGAATTATTTTGATTTAAAGTACAATCAAACTAATTAAATATTTTTTTCTTAAATTAAGGTATTCAATTGAATTGGTGGATTTAATGATATTTTTGGCTGAACAAGGCCTATGCTATCAAGTACAAGAGTGCTTGAAGTTTCCAGCTCAAAAATGCCCTGATCTTTTAGCTCTTGCGCTTATACAATCAAATAGGCCTCTTAGTATGGTGAGACATGAAATGATAAGTGGTCTAATACCAGTTTTTTTAGGAAATCATAGCAACTCTGCAGTAATTTTACATTATGCTTGGAACCATCAGGTATGTATTGTTAAATAATCTAACTATATATCTTATAATAAAAATTTACAAATTAAAACATTGTTATTTTTTAACATTTTTAAAGCTTTTTTCCTTAAAACTGCCATAACTTTTAAAAATGATCAAATCAACAAAAACTTTTACATAGATACCTTAGATATTTAACTATCATTGGGTTTATTTTTTGTGTAAATTTGACCCTTTACCATCTGCATGCAGGGAGGTTTTAAAATGGCAACTTTTCCACAAAAAATGAATTTTTCCAACTTAACTTTAAAAATGTTCTGAAAATACTGGCACTTTTTTATATAACTTAAATTAAAGTTAATGTAACATATTTTTATATGAAAAAAAAAATGTTGAACTTTAGATTGTTGTTAAGTTGAAAATTACTACCATATTTAAAAATAAGCTATTTTTGTGTTAAAATTTTTGATTTTATATTTCTATAAATTTTTTATATTAGAATATCTTTCAAGGGTTTTCCATAGTAATGATTCCACCGATTTTTTATAAAAGTAACATGACTTGACATTTAACTTAAATTGAATAAAAATTTAAACTTATTTTAAATATTTTGCCCCCAATATAGAAACAACTTTAAATTTTCGAACTAGCTTAAATTTAGCCTTTTTATCTACTAACATGTGTGATGTATAGTTGTCGAGTCGGTTACACTTAAGTTTTTCATATTTGTGGTACAAGGTTTGAATCTGTCCCTTGAATGGCTTTTTTTGCATTTTTTTGTTAATTGTATTTGAGGTAGAAAAATTTTCAAAATTTGTTTGATTTTTATCTCATTTAGATTTATGTACTTCAATGAATATCAACTCCATCATTGTAGTCTACCCACGGGAAAATTAATTTCTTATTCATATCAAAATTATTTTACTATTTTGTGTCATTAATTTTTCTCAGTTCTCACTTAACCAATTTTTTTTTAATGATACATTAAATTATCTCAACTAGTATTTAATTAAAGATATTATCCTCAAAACGATGAACCCTAAAATTGATTTCTCAGAAATGTCTTACATCCTAGATACTTAATTACATTCTTTATAACATTTAAATTTTACTATAAATTTTAGAATGTGGGACTCAGACATACTTTGGTTCAAGCAATGAGTGAATGGTATGTACGTAGCGATCAAGATCATGTAAAACTTTCCCGTATTTTAGATATTGCTCAAGATTTGAAGGTATAATGAAGAATTATATATTCTGATTTAAGAAAATTATTATTATTATTTTTATTTCTTTTTAGGCTTTGTCATTGTTGTTGAGCATTCAACAGTTTTCTTTTGTCATAGATCTTGCTTGCTTAGCTTCAAGGCGAGAATATTTAAAACTAGACAAGTGGCTTTCAGACAAAATTCGTGAGCATGGTGAAAGTTTTATGACTTCTTGTCTCAAATTTTTACAGGTATTATCATTAACTCTAAAAAATGTGTATAAAATATAATTTTTGATAGAAATAATAGAAGTAAAAATTCATTTTATACATATTTGTGTGATTATTTGATTTGTTATTATTTATTTTAAACAATTATTTTATAATATAATAATATTCTATTTATTTGAAAAATATTACTTACTGTGCATCTTTTTTATATACATATTTTTTACATTTTTATGTACAGAAACGATGTCCTCAATTAATTGGGTCAACAATTCAAGATGATAATTTATCAAAGTACACGCCAATATCATCCGAAACTGTGATAACTATGTTAAATTGTCTCAGAAATGTTAACACTGGGTGAGTGTCAAATTATTTTTTAGATTGTACTTTTAATATAGATATTAAATTTATTTTTATTATATATGTAATTCTTTACATTAAAAAAAATTAAATAATTGATAATTTTGAAACAAAATATTTAATTACTCACATCTTGAGGTTTTTTTTTCTTAAAGTAGACTATTAAAAGCATTGTTGTTCAACAAGAGAAGCTTAGGAATAATTATTTTTTTAAAACTTTAGAACTTTTAAAAATCAAATAATTTTTTTGTTAGTAATTCATTAATATGGAGTATTTTATTATACTTTTGATGGCAGTTTTTTAATATCTTTGAATGAATAAAAATTTCCCTTAAAATCATGACCTCAAAAATATATGGGTTCTACCTGTACCTATGATTATAAATAATTATTCTTAACAGAGTACATTTTTTTTATTTCAAATATATGTACTGGTAGAAATTTTAAGTAAAAATTATGATTATAATTTCTCATTCCAGAGTTTAAGTTAAAATAAAACTAATTTTTAATTAATTCATTGAGTTATTATTTTTACTATGTGTTGTCTACGTTGTATAATACTAAACTCTAAAACCTTGAAATTAAAAAAAGTCTTTTGATAAGGTTTAAGTTACCAAAGTAACTATAATAAATAATTTTTCTTTAATATCCAAAGCATCACAAACAAAATTTCCTTAAAAAATTGAATTTTATATTGTATATCTTAGGCACAGATGCAGATCCAATTCAATAGTCAATTGTTAATAGAACAAATTATTGCAATTTTTCATACCACAAATTAAACTAATACATAAATTTATTCTCTTCAGGGATGTTTCTCTATCATCCTTTTCTAGATCCATGCGTACTTTTCTAATTGATAGTAAAAAAACACATCATAGTAAAATTAATACCTTCTCAGCTTCGCATCGAAGCTAAAAAAAAAAAGAACGGTAGCACAGTGGGGTCGAGGCACAGTGTAGACAAGGCATAGATGGGACAAGTATAGATGATATTTGACAGTGATTAAAATCACTATCATAAGAAACGCTTCGATGCAAATCTGTTGATAGTGTTTCATTTAGAGAAATTGGTGGATTATTCCAAAAGCAACATCAACTCTTATTTCTTTGATTATATCCCAATTAGTAATTCTTTGATTTTAAAATATAATATATGAATAAATACTAATTATAATTATTAAATTTAGTATGAAAAAAAAAAAGTAAAAATAATTTAATAAGTTTAATTTCTTATGTCTTATGACCTTTATTCTATGTCAATTAAATTATATAATATTCATGAAAGTCAATATATTCTCCTAATAAGATATTTTAAAATAAAATAAAATACAAAACCTAGAATTTTAATAGAAAAATAGCATATTTTTGAATACGGTAGCCATTTGCGCATAGAAGATAGGTCGTCGGGACAAATTTTTTTTTTCATTTTATAGTACATAAAATAAGCTTTAATTTTATATATGTTTAAAGGACGCAGTATTTCCGGAACATTTTCAAAAATTAAGTTGAAAAAGTTAGTTTTTGTAAAAAAGTTGCTATTTTAAATCCCCCCTGTGAGCAGAATAAGTGTTAGATTTTCAAAAAAAAATGATATCAAATGAAAGAAAATTACCTAAGGTTTCAATATAAAGAAATATTATTTTGATTAGTTAATTTTTGAAAAAGTTATGGCAGTTTTAAGTACAAAAAACATCCCGATAAAAGGTAATTTTTATCGCAAACATTACATTTTTTTTTAAATTTTCGACAGTCATTTGCACATAGAAGATAAGATGTCGGGACAAATTTTTTTTTTTTTTCATTTGATTGTATATAACATAACCTTTGATTTGATATATGTTTTAAGGACGCAGTATTTCCGGAACATTTTCAAAAATTCAGTTGAAAAAGATCTATGTTTTTTACAATATTTTAAGTTTTGAACGCCCCCTATATAAGGGGAAATT